CACAAAAAAAAATTTTACGTGAAAAAAAACTATTTGTTACGTGTAAAAAATTTTTGTTACATGTAAAAAACTATTTTTTTACGCGTCAAAAACTTATTGTTTCTGGTAAAAAAAACTTTCTTACGCAACAAAAAAAAAATTTTACGTGTAAAAAACTATTTGTTACACGTAAAAAACTAATTTTTACGCGTCAAAAACTTATTGTTTCTGGTAAAAAAACTTTTTTACAGAAAAAAAAATTACGTGTAAAAGAACTATTTGTTACACGTAAAAAACTATTTTTTACACGTCAAAAACTATTTGTTTCTGTTAAAAAAAACTCAATATTGTTTTTAAATTCACAAATTAATTTTTTCATTGTACGTTTTCACGCACCTATATCGCTTTTCAGTCTTTTTTAATTAATTTTTAACCAACGAAAACACCCAACTTTGATTTTATTCAAAGGTGTTTTCGTACATAAACGCCACCTCAACACCGGCTTTAATAAATGGCGTATGAAAAATAATTTTCATATTAACACCAGGCGACAAAGGTCCCTTATTCTATCGCAAATTGCAGAGAGAAACACCAACAGCAGGCCTTTGAGCCGGGCAAAGCCTTTGTTCCTTTAGGGCTACGCGCGTCATATAATAACGCGCTTTATACCGCCAAACTGCATGTAGCCGGAGCGTTTTTGTTGTTTATGCTTTACCGTGTATGGTCACCGTTTGTTTATTTATTACAATGACGCTTCTAAAACCCCGTTAGTAAAATATTTCCCCTGGAAATTCACGATGTTTAAAAAAGTTTATAGTAAAGCAACATCCTCAGAAAAATAACTGAACATAGAGACGCCTTAAAATATCAATAACAATGGTTAAAAAAAACAATAATATCTGTTACTATTTATAATATACTAGCGTGTACTCGCGACTTCGTTCGCGTCGAATTAATCATTTGTAATGGTGATGATAAATCAAAGCAAGAATTTCCATTAACATACAAACTGGATAAAATTTTCTCACATTTATGTCAGCATGAGAAAAAACGATGGAATTCACTTTCGATGGAATTTGACTTTCGAAAAATCCGTTTGCCAAAAATAAGCTTTTTAAGTCAAGCAGTTTAACAACCTAACCTAACACCCTGTATGATTTTTTAAAAAATTTCAAAATATGTATAAAAACAAAATAAAATATGCCTGTCCAAGCGTTTTCCCGAAAGACTAACGGTTTTTTAAATAACAAATATTGTAATATTTGGGGGGCGTTTTCACCCTTTTGAAATTTGAGATTCAAGAAACCCCCCTTATCGAACCTCTACACCCCACAGTCAATCCGTTTACCAAAAATCAGCTTTAAACGTCAAGCAGTTTTAGTAGAACCGTGATTACTCAATGGTTATATTTTATGAAACACCCTGTATAAATTTTTAAAAAATCTTAAAATATGTAAAACAACATAATAAAATATACGTGTTTTAAGAGTTTTTCCGAAAAACTCACTGGTTTTTAAATAAAAAATATTCTAATATTTCAGAGTAGTTTCACCCCCTTAGAATTCGAGTTTCGAAAAATCCCTTCTTATCGAACCTCTACACCCTAAATTCAATCCGTTTTCCAAAAATCAGCTTTTTACGTCAAGGGCTTTAAGCAGGATCGTGATTAATCAATAACCAGATTTTTCAAAACACCCTGTATACATTTTTAAAAAATCTTAAAATATTATTCTGAAAATTTTTCAGAATAAATAAATACCTAAATAATGAAACTTAATAAGTAAGTACTGAAACATACAGCGCCATAATATCTCGACCTCCGCCCATTATGCTCGTAACAGGTTGAAAAACAATGTATCTAAAACAACTGATGCGTTATTCTCCAACATGTTTCGAACCTCCATCGACAATCGACCAATGCAGCAACGTTCCTTTCTTACTCCGATTATCTCGACCGCCGCCGCCCTGTTATGCTCGTAACAGGTTGAAAAACAACGTATCTAAAATGACTGCTTCTCCAACCCGTTGCGAGCCTCCATCCACAATCGACCGATGCAGCAGCGTTCCTTTCCCACTCCTGTTATCTCGACCGCCAGGCGTTATGCCCGCAACTGTTTCAAAAAACCTGCTTCTTTTATATCCTATTATTTCTAAGCTGTTGTAAGCCCAATACGACCATCGACGGCGTCGACCGAAGCAGCTACGTTCGCAGTAGCGCATTCCCCACTCCGTTGTCCGTTGTCTCGCCGCCTGTATTGATGGTTGACGAAATAACATGTTTTCCATCCATACTAGTTGTTTTTTGGAATTGCTTCGAGCAGCATAGAATTTCGTGGCGGTGCAGAGCGCCAACTTCGTTTTTCGTTTCACCAGCGGCCGACCTCTACGTGTCGTTATTTTATATCTGTTATTTTTTAGAAGTAGTAACGGTTGCGTTATGTTATTTATAAATAATTGTTATAAAATAACAGATAGTTAAATAACAACCCATCACTAGTATTTTTGAATTTTCTTTTCATTAAAAGTTCTGTAGAATATTTCAAATTTAAATAATTAGTATTAAACATCTGCAAAATTAAACTTAAATTATTTTTACATGTACCAAATACGACACACTGCAGAAGTCAGATAGTATATGGTATGAAAAGTTTCTATGAAACTGCTGAATATTTGAAACTATACAAAATTTCATACCCGCTATTCATTTCTGAAAACTTTGGAATGTTTTAAGATTAAAACGACATGGTGGCTGGAAAATCTCTGGTGTTAGCGACGATTTTTAGTAAAAAGAAAAAGGAATCCGTGGAAAATTATATCTATGTGGAGTCCTATTTCCTGTAAAAAATGATACGATGATATTTGGATATTTTCTGAAATTTAAAAAGTGTCATCCTCGTTGATAGTAAACAGTTAGAATTATAACAAATACAGAACCTCATAATGTACTATATTAAATAAAAATTATGGAATAAATATAAGCAAAAAGATAAACAAACTTGCGAAATCTACTATATTCTATGCGTGACAAAGAAAGGATAGAAAAATGCCCATATAAATTATACGTTTTATTACCAGTGTTGCTAATTAGTGTATATAAAACATTGACTATAATTTAGGCCATTAAACAGTCGATTGATTTTGATTAAGAACATTTTAACTTTTATCAAATCTCAGTAACTTCAACATGAAAATTCAAAAGTCAATTTTCAATAATTTTATATAAAAAGGCTTGAAAAGAATAATTACTGAAATACTCGTATATCCATTTGCTTTCGTTTTGCTATAGATATATTATAATTGTGTATAATAATGCTGAGTGTAATGCTATAAATTAATGCTGTATTGTTTATAATAGAATTATATTATAGTTTTATATGTACAGGGTGATTCAAACTTCCCGCCCTTGGCTTATAACAGGAAAAGGAAACCTGCAAATACAAATTTCGAAGACAGGATTTGAATGGCAGTGTGTAAGGTATATTTTTTCGCATTTAAACATTTTTCAACTTTTTTTAAAATGGTGAAAATGACGTCAAAAAAAATATTTTTTTTCACAAAGTCATCGTTTTTTTTCATATTCTGAAAGAACATATATTTTAAACAACTTTCATTAAAAAAGTTTATAAAAAAAAATAAATAAATAAATTAGTATTTTAATAAAGCACGCTTTTAGATGTTTCAAAAAACTTTTAATAAGAGTAACTTTAACTCTACATATATGTTTCGGCTTGTTAGACCTTTTTCAAGAGTTTTTTGAGAACTAATCGTCTAACTACACTGTAACTATATATATATTTGCTATGGGGGTGGGTTCAGAGAGTTTACAATAGGGGTAATAAAAAATGTGTTTAGAAATCCTTGTTGGTCGTTAACATTATTTTCGTTTTTAACAGATTTTAGTATTTCTAACTGTTCAATGTAATTTAAGCGTCTACCTTTGTTTCTCTGTGTAGTAACTTAATTGAGTTTTCATTAATTTTGTGATTATTTACTATACAATGAGTTGCAAGACCAGAACTATGCTGGAGATTATTAATATACTTTACATGTTCTTTAATCCTTATATCTAAATTTCTACCTGTTTGGCCTATGTACACGGCATCACAGTATTGCAATCCACCCTATATACACCCGACTTATTTTTGACATTAGTTTTGTCTTTATTATTTAATAAAATTTGACCTAAATTTCTTTTATTTACGTTAATAGTTTTACATCCTATTTTATTGAGATTATTTGATATTTTGTTAGTTAAATTAGGAATGTAGTTTAAAGGTTGATAATTGTTATTGTCTTTAGAATTAGCGGATTAAAAATTTTTCATTAATATTTTGTTTTGTTTTTTCTTTAGCATATTATCAATAAGGGAACACTTATATCCATTGTTGATGGCGATCTGTTTAATAATATTTAACTCTTTTTTAAAATTCTCTGGGCTCAGTGGAAACATTACTAATCTATGAATTAAACTATGAAAGGGTGACATTTTGATTTGCCAGGATTGGTGTGATTGACTATGTATTACAGTGTCTGTGGTAGTGGGTTTCCTGTAAATATCAAATTGTAATCTATTAGACTGTTTTATAATTGTAACATCAAGAAAATTGATGGTATTAATACCTTTTTCAATAGTAAATTGTATTCTCGGGTTAATTGAATTTAATAATGTTAAAAAACTGTTTAAATTTCTCTCGGTGCCTGACCAAATTCAAAAAATGTCATCTACATATCTTGCCCAATAATTTATTTTTGATATTAAACTACTCTTGTTTTTAAATAGCTTCTTTTCAAAATCTGCCATAAATATTTCTGCGAATAACGGTGAAATTGGGGAACCCATCGGTAACCCATCTTTCTGTTTAAATGGGTTACCGATGGGTTCCCCAATTTCACCGTTATAATAAATATTCCTTACACACTGCCATTCAAATCCTGTCTTCGAAATTTGTATTTGCAGGTTTCCTTTTCCTGTTATAAGCCAAGGGCGGGAAGTTTGAATCACCCTATACGTGTTCTTGATAATTTTCTTATTTATTGTAGGTCTTCATCATTAAAGTAGCATAAGAATATGCAGCTTGAATTGTCTGAAAAAAGAAAAACATATTATTCATGACAATTCTGAGACTTGATTGTGTGTAAATATACCTTTACTAATGAATAATTTTATTGAACAGTAATTATCAAAAAAAATAGTTTGGTTGGTTAAAAAGTGATAATCATAAAAAGGATTTGTTTCCTGACATTGTCATTTTTTCTTTTTGACATTTTAGTTTTGAATTAGAAGTATTCGGTTTAAACGAATTATGTTGTAAATACTCATAAATGTATTGCAAATACTCATAAATCTGTTTTCGCCTATGTCGCCTTGATTATTTACACATAATACCGTATGATCGAATAAAAACGGCGTCAACGATGGCTATGAAATGAAGATCGCTGTCATTTTATATGTAAAATTATATGGGAAATGTCATCGATCGTCATTTCCAAGCCAACTGGACGCCGTTTTTTTTCGATCAAACGGTACTTTCTGCTTTTTCCGAGATGAATCCTGAATTTTTCCGAGACGTTCGTTTTAAAACAGCATATCTCCAATACAAAAAGATATAATATGATGATTAAAAAAATAAAATGCTCAAAAAAGACGAGGCTACAATGTCATTTAATTTAGCAATAGCTACTACCGCTGCTGCACCCTACAGGGTGTTACAAAGTTCGGGCGAAAAATTTCGTCTTATTGTTGTGCCCTGTATATGCTCAAAATAAATTCGAAATAAAAATTTCTGACGTAGAATGCGTTAAAAAGGAATTAATTTACAATTTAAAAGAAAAATCATCAAAATCTAATGAGTGGTTCGCGAGAAATCCAACTTTGAAATTGGGTCTAGTTTTTAGTGGCCGTTTTTTTTTGCCGGTGAGTTTATAATATTTATAATTAATTAATTTTTTTTCCTAAAATATTTTGATTAAAAGAAAATATGAAAAAGTAGCCAACGCTGTGAGTGCCGGTCAAGCTTAATCACGTGACTAAAACTTTGTTTGATATGAACTATAGATAGGTACATACCATTATGGCCGTTTCAGCTACCATAGGCTTGAATGGCCCAATGGTGAATGTCAATGGTTTCTGTCCTCGCAACAAAATTATATGAAGTAACTTCTTTATTTTTTCATCTTGTTCATACCAGGGACTGTCATATACAGCATCGGCAACCTTCAGACTCTAAATCAACAAAATACCAATTACTGTAAATTGTTAATAAAAATCTTCACAAAAAATAAAATTTGCAATTGAAATTTCTCAATTGCAAATTTTATTTTTAATTTTATATTTATGCAAAATTTGTAAAATGGAAACATTGCAAAATCTTTGCAAAAGCCAAGAAAACAGTGTTGTTTATTATTTTTGTAATCACTAATGCCATATTATGCTATATTTTCAACAGTAAGAGACACAGGGTTGGTCAAACTGGCTCAAAGTTACCTGTCAATGAGCCCAATAATGTAATGAGTTGAATTGTTGAAGTTTTCTGTGTCATTTTCGGAAATATGGCGGAAAATGAAATCTCCGGTTGTCGCTTTTGTTTTTTACGAGTTTATTTTAACAGTTAGAAAAATCCATAAACACATTCTTTAAGAAACTTTTTTACCTTCATCATTTGATCGCGTGGTAGATCAATTAGACGTTTTGTTTTTCTAAAACCTGCTTAAACTTTTTTTTTTGTAAATGGGGACCTAGAATTTTTTTTCCTTTTTTAAAAAAGTTATTACCCCCCAAAAGTCGATAGCATTCCCTATTTAATTTTACATATAAATATTAATCAAGGCTAATTAACATTGAATAAAGAAAATCGAGCCAATTGGAAGATTCAAATAAATAATATCCAGGTCAGCAATTTCAGCAAATCAGCAAGTTATTATTTTTAACTTTCTTTATTGTGAATTTGAAATGTCAATGTGTGATCTCATAATAAGAATAATATTAATCGTAGTTATTATAGATAAATCAACTTCTAACTAGTTTCTAATGCTCTACATGTTTCAAAAGGGTTACCACCCTCCCTATTGCACAAATTTATTTTTCGTTCAATTTTATTTACAGTATAATTTTTATTGTTGTCGATCCAATAATATATAATGTGTTCTTTTTTTATAAATTGGATTAGGATCGAAAGAAATCAACAGAAGTCCTTTGTTTTAAATTTGTCGACGTTTCGCAAAATTTATTTGCATCTTCAGGACACTACAAAGTTAAGAGAGCAAAAATACAATCAAATAAAAGTTTTTCCAAAAATTTTATTATCAACAGATATATGGACTGGGAATGGGTAATTGTGTATCACCGATTTGTTCTGATTTAGTTATGCAGGATTTACAGGATCAATGTATTAAAAAACTTCCTTTTCAATTGCCGTTTTTTAAACGTTATGTTGATGATATTATAACTTCAATTCCTATTAATCAAGAACAAAGTATATTAGACATATTTAATTGTTATCACCCTAAACTACAATTTACATTGGAGAAAGAAATAAACAACAGCATAGCATTCCTTGACGTGAGACTAATTAGACACAATCAATTAATAGAGACAGATTGGTATCACAAGCCGACATTCTCTGAGAGATTTCTCAATTATTCCTCCGAACATTCTTTGAAACAAAAAATTAATGTTATTAATAACCTGAAAATCAGAGCTACATCACTATCATCAATTAATTTTCATAATAAAAATTTAAAATATATCGAAAGCATGTTGATTAAAAATAATTATCCAATATCTATGATTAAAAAAATTCTTAACAAGAAAACCGTTGTAAAATCTACTAACCAAAATGATAGAGAAGTTTATTGTAAAATACCTTATATCGACTGTCTGTCAGAACAAATTAAAAACACATTTAAGGGTCATACTACAAAAAAACAGGAAAAAATAAAAATTACAACAAGGAGTCATAACACCATAAAGAGACGGTTCTTTTCAAAAACAAAATCAAAGAATAAAAAAGAACTGAAATCCGGCATAATATATAACATTCCTTGTACTCAATGTCCTAAAAGCTATGTTGGGCAGACCGGTAGATATTTAAAACAAAGATTGAATGAACATAAAAATGATCAAAGGAACTTTCTTTTGAAATCTAATCCTACCGCATTAGTAGAACACAAAATAGAGACAGGCCATAACTTCGATTTTGACAATACCACTATTTTACAAACACAATCTAATTATAAGAAAAGATTATTTGCAGAGATGATAGAAATCCAAAAAAACAAAAATTGCGTTAATAAAAGAACAGACGTAGAAAACCTGAGTACAGCATATTTTAATATTCTTTCAAAAATTAAATAATATAACTTCAAAATAATGGTTTAAATCCAAATAATATTTTTATATGTTTCTTTTTTCAACTGTTCTTTATCTCCAGGTAAAAATTATATTAGTATTTTATCAACTAGAATTAGTTGCTCTCTGTATACGGTCAACGTAGGTACATCTGCACTGCTTGTCTGTGAAAGGAAAAGATTTTCGTGATATTTCTCTATACATAATTGTGTTATATGTTTTTTTTTATGTAAGTGTGTTATGTGTTTTAAAAGGAAAAAAGGGATATATACCACTCCCCTCTATACCATCCGTGTATTAATGGATATGACTAAGAAAGTCCAGATTTAAATGTGAGTAACATATACATATATTTTATTTAATTGTTAACATTAGGGTAGTTTTACCAATTGTATATGTGTGGAATTCCACTGATATGTATTTTAGGTTGTTTGTTGAATTTTTGGAAAAACTTTTATTTGATTGTATTTTTGCTCTCTTAACTTTGTAGTGTCCTGAAGATGCAAATAAATTTTGCGAAACGTCGACAAATTTAAAACAAAGGACTTCTGTTGATTTCTTTCGATCCTAATCCAATTTATAAAAAAAGAACACATTATTTATTTATAGTTCTTTGAACTTTTTCTATTCCAAAAAACTCAGCAATCGTATCTATTACAGTTACCGAGATACAAATACTCGTACCTCGAATTTGTACCATCCTGTATATCTTTAAAAAGCTTTAAAATATAGGTGTACTGTTTTATATGAAAAGCATAATCTGATTTCTGTCCAATTTTCCGTATCACTCGCTTACAATGTGCTCCGCTTTAAAAAAGCTGCTTTTATTCTACCTTCAAAGTTTTTACTATAGTTTAGTCAGCTTTTTTTCGCCGATAATAGTCAGCTATTTACACATCACAGGTTCCGTTAAATGCTGTGTCGAACAAATTTCTGTTTAATGAAAGGAACAATGAAAATTGATTTCCGTGTGTACCTATCTAGAACAGTAGGTTTTTTCAACGTTTTAATATTCAGTATCCTTTTTAGGTTACGTTTTTGTCGTTATCGTCGGTTATAGTTCAGTTTTTTTTTTCAATTTGACTATTTTAATTCAAACCTAAACCCCAAAATTCGAATCTATCAAAAATTTATACAAATTAAATTAAATTTTGAATAATTTAACAGCATACATACAATTCTGGGTTAATTTACCCCACATCACCCCCATAACTTTTTAGTTTTTCAGATAAATAAACGAGATTTGGTATGTTAGTATATGACATAAATTATGATTGATTGACGTATTCAATTGTTTTCGGTCACTTCCTGTTTAACCGGAAATGACCACAACTTTTGATTTTTAAATGGCACCCTCGGCATTTTTTACTTCATTCGATAGAAAATGATACTCTGAATAGAATGACATTCCATATGTCAACTTTTGACATTTTTTTATGTGAAATTGTAGCATGCAAGGAAAACGGCATTGAAAACACCAATTTTCTACTTAACACCAAGTTTACCTTGTTGAGTTTTGTTGTAAATGGATTTATAATATCACTAATAAAATATAAATAAATTTTCTCACATTTATGTCAGCATGAAAAAAAACAATATGGCGATATTATTATATAACTTGGTAATATTTGAGGGGTAGTTTCATCTCGTTGGAATTTGACTTTCGAAAAATCCGTTTGCCAAAAATAAGCTTTTTACGTCAAGCAGTTTAAGCAGAATCGTGGTTAAGAAATTACCCAACTTGTTAGAACACCCTGTATGATTTTTTAAAAAATTTCAAAATATGTAAAAAACCCAAATAAATTATGCTTGTCCAAGCGTTTTCCCAAAAGACTGACCGTTTTTTAAATATCAAATATTGTAATATTTGAGGGGCGTTTTCACCCTCTTGGAATTTGAGATTCGAGAAACCCCTCCATGTCGAACCTCTACACCCCACAGTCAATCCGTTTGCCAAAAATCAGCTTTAAACATCAAGCAGTTTAAGCAGAATCGTGATTACTCAATGGTCATATTTTATGAAACACCCTGTATAAATTTATAAAAAATCTTGAAATATGTAAAACAACAAAATAAAATATACGTGTTTAATAGTTTCTCCGAAAAACTCACCGGTTTTTAAATATAAAATATTTTAATATTTGAGGGATAGTTTCACCCCCTTAGAATTCGAGTTTCGAAAAGTCCCTTCTTATCGAACTTCGAACCTCTACACCCTAAAGTCAATCTGTTTTCCAAAAATCAGCTTTTTACGTCAAGCGCTTTAAGCAGGATCGTGATTAATCAATGACCAGATTTTTCGAAACACCCTGTATACGTTTTTACTATAGTTGTTGAACTTCTGACACATTCGTATGTAAAAAAACGAAATAAAATATACGTCTTTAAGCGTTTTTTGGGAAACTTGACCGTTTTTTAAATAAAAAATATTGTAATATTGAGGGGTGGTTTCACCCTCTTGGAACTGGAATTTCGAAAAATCCCTTCTTATCGAACCTCTACACCCTAGAATCAACCTGTATGCCAAAATTTAGCTTCTTACGTTGATTGGTTTGAGCAGGATCGTGATTTATCAGTATGTCAGTCACTTAAGGATTTTATACAGGGTTGTTCACCACATACGACACGGAGTAGTATCTATTGTAGCTAAACGATGAGATTTTTACAAATTGTAAGTTTTGGGTTCGATGAAGGACTATTAGAGGTACAATTTAAAAATAATTTTACAAAATACAGAGTGTCCCAAATAAGTAAAAAATATCAAAGTTGTATTTTTTTAAATGGAACACCCTGTATATTATTACATTTTTAGTTTCTACGATTAAAATAAAGGTAAATTTAATTAAGGTTTATTATACTTAAACCTTACCGTTTTTGAAATATTTTCAATTTTGTGAAATTGCAGTAAAAATTTGAAGGCTTCATTTCTCCAAGGGTATCAAAGTTTTTAATACTAAATATTTACTGAAGTTTATTTACTGATCAGTTATTGTGTTGCAATAATAAAAATAATACTACCTTATACAAAGTGTCTAAAAATTTATTTTAAATAAATAATTATTAGCTTCAAACGGCAATAACTTGTTTAATTTAAATGGAACACCCTGTATATTTTACGAGAATCAGATGCACAGTTTAATTGTCTATCAAATTATATTATACCATTTTTTACATATCTCTTTAAGTTTCCGTAGAAAATGCATTTTCTTGTAATTTAGAACTTATTTATCAATATACCCATGGACTATTGATATTTTAGATTATTTTTGAAGATGTACCAAATTTTTAAAGAGTACAGATACTAATATTGTCGATATAATTCGTTTATTTCATTAAAAAATAAAAAAAAACTGTTTAAATATTTGTTAAAGAGGACCAATTAATATGATTCCAGTATTCAAACTACATTAACTGACTGTTTGCGTTGATTAATAATAATTGCTACAAATACTAAAAAACTGAATTTTGTATGGGCATTAGACAGTGTGATAAAAAGTAACACCTTAAAAATGATATTTTATTTTTTAATAAATGCTTATTTATAACAACAGAGACTTTAATTTGATAACTTATTATTATATTGATTTCTGACTCAAATCCACATTTATTTATAATAATTTTTAACGAACACAATTAAGTATGTAATTAATTATATATGGGCGGAAATAATGGTGTTATATTTAATTAATGGTATACTCTTTGATAAAGATTTAAATAGTTTTCTTTTTGCATACAAATGGGCTAGTAATATTATCGTTTTGCTAAAAACGATAATATTACTAGTCTGTACATTTTGTACATTTGCTGCTTTAAAAACAATCTAAAATGTCAATATTCCATGGATATATTGATAAATGAAGTCTAAATTATAAGAAAATGCATTTTCTACGAAAACTTGAAGGGATAGATAAAAAATGGCATAATACAATTTGATAGACAATTTAATTGTGCATCTGATTCTCCTAAAATATACAGGGCATTCTATTTAAATTAAAGAAGTTGTTGCCGTTTGAAGTTAATAATTATTTAAAGTAAATTTTTAGACACTCTCTATAAAGTAGTATTATTTTTATTATTGCAACACAATAACTGATCAATAAATAAACTTCATTAAATATTTAGTATTAAAAACATTGATACCCTTGGAGAAATAAAGCTTTAAAATTTTTACTGCAATTTCACAAAATTGAAAATATTTCAAAAACGGTAATGTTTAAGTATAATAAACCTTAATCAAATTTACCTTTATTTTAATCGTAGAAACTAAAAATGTAATAATATACAGGGTGTTCCATTTAAAAAAATACAAATTTGATATTTTTTACTTATTAGGGACACTCTGTATCTTGTAAAAATATTTTTAAATTGTAGCACTAATAGTCCTTCAACGAACCCAAAACTTACAATTTGTAAAAATCTAATCGTTTAGCTATAATACTCCGTGTCGTATGTGGTGACAACCCTGTAGATTATTAGCATTATTACCTCAAGTTTCACTTCGTTTGATATCCAAGCTATAACAAATACCTGTAGAAGTTGAAGAGCTAGTAAACAGATTGCATAGAAAAAATCCGTAGACTTGACCTGAAACAAATCTAATTTAAACTAAAAATGTATATGAGGCATATATGAGTAAAAAAACTTTACATACAATAATTAAACACGTTTAAGTGTAATTGTACTCAACCTAAGAAATTTAATACTCAATATAAAGGCATTCCGTTTAGAAAATATGTACAGTTTTTTCCTTGTTGTTATTACTTGGTGGGCTTGATCTCAATTTTAGTGAGCTAAAGTCACCAATTTGAAATATCTCTGGTTCGACAGCTTTTTTACTAGACGACAAAGACGAACATGTTGAAGAAGTGGACATGAAGTTAGTGTCAGATGAACTAGATGTAGATAATTTTTTCTTCTTTTGCATAATTTTACTGGAACAAAAAGGGACAGGGGACTTTTTCAGGGACAAAATGGGTAGACAAAAAACTATAGTAGAGGTAATAGAGAGTGCCCAACTGAAGTGGTATGAACATGTGAGAAGGATGGACAACACGCGACTGCCTCAGAAGGTACAAAACTGGCTTCCACAAAAGAGAAGGAAACGGGGAAGACCAAGGACAAACTGGATGGAAAATGTCAAGAAGGCGATGAGCTCAAGGGATCTGCGTGACGGAGGCAGGAATGAACGAAATCAATGGCGACTAGGCATAGCACAACGTCGAAGGACGTTTTAAAAGCGATTCTTATATATATGCTACAAAATTACAAGAATTCACTGCGATAAATTGGCACACACTACACAAAAAAATCCCACTTCTGATGAAAGGAATCTCTCAAATAATAATGTTGTTTAATAGAAAATAAGTATTTAATAGCAATAACTGATCTCTACAACGATTTTTTGCTGAATAATATGTTTCGTATTTTTACATAACGCAGATTAAATGGTCCTAATGTTAAGGGAATCTTCGACTATAAGACAATAAATGCGCATTCTACAGGACATCTAACACTTGTTTTACACAAAAATTACATTTTTTGATTTCTGTTTCACTGGCAAAAAATAGGCTTTTGTCAAGAAATATTCCCACCACAAAATATACCGATCTGGTCATCGAAACTGCGTGTTCTGAATTTAAACATGTAAGACAGTGTTGTAGACAGCTTAAATGAAAAATCAAATGTATCAAAAAGAGGTGAAAGTTAGGTTGATACATTTCTTCTATGCGGTATTGCCGGATTTTGCATCAACATTTCAAACCGCACAAGTAGGTGTTTACGAAAAATGTTTATTTTTTACAATTAGTTATTCATTTTACTACAGCTATAATAGATTATATTTAGTTTAGATATATGATCTTTATTTCAGTAGTATACATGAAAGTTTTTAAAATAGTTTATTTTTTTCTACATACACTTTCCTACACACGGAAAAACCGACAACATTGTATGCCGCTTTTTATTTTATCTCTCTGTTTGTCAACCGGTCATTTATATTTATCTCTGTCGTATGCATTAAATACAGACCACGCCCATAAAGTAACCTAGTATACCTATTCACAACCTTGTAAATCATGATTCACCAATACTGATAAAAACTAATTAAATCATCTTGAAGAATTCAGTACAATTTTCTAACTTACTGTTATAATGTAAAACAAGACCGAAGCAACGTTGGCTGAATTCAACAAAAATTCAATAAGCATGACATATTTTACTGATTGATTCAACGTCTCAACAAACCTAAAATATACCTAATTTTATAAACAATAAATCATTTTTTTTCTTGTATGTACATACTCTATAGACTTCTGATGTTTAACAATGAAGTAATAAAGGGTCTCGCTTATATCTTTACCATATTTTCCGACAAATGTATGAAACTTTCTGAGCCTCACTCGTAAAATTCTCAATTGCAAGGCGGAAAAAACTATTAAAGTATATATGAGCAACAAACACACAACATTAAGAACTCCTCCCATATATATTGTATACAAATTAAAAGCAACCACCACAATCATGTATTTTTTCTTATCAAATGGAAAATACAACTCATACATGAATGAAGCTTCATCAAAATTCCAGGCTTCCACTCCAATCTCCCATAATTTAATTATATCTATGATAGCAAACGAACTCACTGCCAAAGTTGTCGCTATAATAACTCCAATATTCAAGTATCTATCGTATCTGAGAACTGTATAGTATATTTTTTGAACTTCAGGATCGTTGGAATCTTCAATATCTGTTTCCACTTCCACAAACTTAGCAAACCTTTGAGGAATCTTGTTTTTCTGATAAATGAGCATCTTGATTGAGAGCAGGATTATAGTAACCACCAGAGAACCGCTGCTGCTGATTCTTTCAGCTGATTTGTGGAAAATAATGAGTCTGATCCACTCAGATATTAAAGAACCTGCAAGGATCGAAACATAAACCACCAAAATATATTTATAAATCAGGTACCAAGTTCTTAAACTGGGATTTTTTATGAACTCTGGGGGCCAGATGCCCCACATCAACATACATATTTTTGGAATCGATGCCAAACTCATGGTTTAGACTGTTTCTCTAAATATATCGCATACTAGTATGATCTTGTTATATTATACTTTACTCCATAATATTCAGTAGCGACTCGTCAGGGTCGACCCTACAATTTTGCCAGATTTTTTTTTACATTATAATATTTACTCTATTAATGTTGCCAATACATATAAAAATACCTACTATTAATACACGGAAATGAGTTGTAACAATTAATATTAATTTAATATTTGTAGTGTTTTATATTAATATATTAACTACCGCTGGCGTATGCAGCGTTAGAAATCAAAATAATTTTGACCGTTGGAGTATAATGCCTGCCGTCTTTGTTCGGCGATTTCTAGCATCGCCTTTCAAATTAAATTTTGATCTTCCACTCAGCCGTCGATGTGTGTCTTTTGTCTCTGTCTAACTCATCGTGCGGTAGCGACGGAAATCGATGACTACGTCGAATTAAGGCGGGGTTTAGGCGATATCTTCGGCAGTGTTACCAACTCCGGGATTTTATCCCTAAATTTGGGGAGAAAAAATCTATATGGGGATTTTTTTAGGGAGTAAAATTTTTTGGGGATATTTTTAGGGATAAAATTTCAATGGAATTTTACCGACCAAAGAGGAGATAAGACCGCTACTGCTATTTTTCAAAATTAATAGGAAAGTATAAATAAAACAAAATAATTTATTTATTTTAATCACCAAATCTTGGATAATAGTTGTGGGGATTTTAGTTGTTTGGATTTAAGAAGGTTTGATATTGCTTTAATGGAAAGTTTCGAACAGTTGGCTAATGGTTGCAATGGCTGTGATCAGACATTTCAAGGTCAACCACTTAAAACACAACAAATTGTTTATTTATTATTATTTATATTTTTAGAGTTTTTTCGGGATATTTTTTTAGGTTTTTAGGGATATTTTGGGGATTTTTGATGCGAGCGTTTTAGATTTTTAGGGAGATAAATTTTTGAGAGTTGGGAACACTGCGATAGGTTTTAGAAATTCGGTGGTTCCCATATTATATTATTCATCATACGTTATCGGTATTTAAAACTTTAATTAAAATATGATTGTCGACTGCCTATTATTGACTTGAATTATTGTGTACAGTGCATTTGGTGTTCCTGTTAGTGTACATTGCATTTGGTTGTTAATTTCTAAGTTAACAAGGAGCAGATATGGATAAGTATTAATTTAGGTTAAAATTTGGAGCAATTAATTTTGATTTTCAATATGGATAATCCTATTCACACAATTTACGCGACGTATAAATACATTCATACCATTTACAAGTACTTCGGTTGAGAGACATTTTTCATGTTTGAAACGCCAAAAAATTACACTAGAAATTCAATGAAAAATAAACGTTTATCGTCACTTGCCTTACTTTGAATCGAAAAAGATATTTTCAGCCCTTAAACAATCTGATAACTTTACAAATATAATAATAAATAAATTTTCTTTATTAAGAAATCGGCGAATCAATTTCATATATAAAAAGTAATTATTCTTTCGCTTTGTTTATGATTCTCGAAATATGTACAGCTGGTTCCAAAAAAAATGAATACGACTCTTTACACATTTATTTTGAATATTTGAGCAGTGTATATTCATGTGTCAAGTATTTTGACATATTAAGGTTATTGTGACATTAAAACAAATTTGCTTTTGACAAAGTGGCAAATAAATTTTTCAGAATGGCAGCATGACATGAGTAGATAAATGGGGGACTCGTATCATAGAATATATTGCCCGAAATAATAAAATATGTTTTAAATCGTATTCAATTTTATTGGAACCAGCTGTACATCAATAAGATAATCTGTTTTTCTTTGTAAATTTGTTTGTCTATACAGGGTGGTCCGAACTGTATTCCGGAAACTTTGACAGCATATTCTGCAGATAAAAATAAGTAAAAAAGTTTATATAAACGTATGTCCCAAAATGCTTAGTTTCGAAGATACAGGTTGAAAAATTTCGTTTTTATTACGATTTTTTCCAAATAATTTCTGAAGTAACGTCAATATTTGGATGAAAATTGGTATCTGGGAGTTTTTTGACATGAGAAATTTGATTTTGATGTCAGTATGACTCCAATTTGTAGGGGCGCCACCTACATGTATTTTAACTATTTTGAAGAGTAATAACTTTTCGTTCGTACCTGTATAAAACCACTGAGTAAAAAAATATAATTTCCGTGATTTTTTACGTAAAAAATGTCTCTTGGTAAAAATCGCTACAAGCAACCGTTCTCAAGATATTTAGAATAGGAACAGTCCATACATGTCCATTATGGCAAAAAAACTGTAGTCGTCAGAGTAGCGGGATAAACAATTTGTTTTGTGTTCAAGAGTTTTTGTCGTTACCCAGTCCCAAAGGCCACGAGCTCCACATGATTAGATATTCTCTGGATTAATAGTACTAATTTTGCTAGAGAAATGTTCTTACTCTCGCTCACACTTTAAATTATATGTTATATATAGAGTATTGTAATATGTATTTCTCTAAATAGCCTGGTGTAATCGATTAGTTATAGGCTTAAATAACTATTGAGACGAATATCTGCTCTATGTGAACGAGACTAGATAGAGAAGTTTCAATTAATAATGCATGAATTAGAGAAAATAATTAGTTTCTATCTAGCATCTTGTTCTAAAAACGGAAATTATATAGAAATTAATTTAACAAAAATAATTAGTAGTAGGAAATGATGTAAAGGGGTAATATTACCAGTAATATTTTGGGTTCAATGATTGAACACCAAAAGCAAAACCCCTCCTCCCCTGTTAGAGAAGTGGGATGTTCGATGCCGGAGTTCGGTGGAGGTCTCCATGTCTCCCTCCTCGGGGTTGGGGGGGTGAAAAAAAATAAAGACCCATAATGAAAATAAGGAACTGGGCATGTATTCTGCGAAACTATCTAGAAAATTGAAATTTTAAATCAAAAAAATAATTCATTTTTTAATTCTCCGCCTATTGAAAAATAATAATACAGGGTGTTTCATTTAAAAAAAACGAAGAAGATAGTTATTTTTAATTTGGCTGAATAGTTTGGCGTAGAATATTTTACATCCTGAGTGATTTCGATTACCATATTTTTAGCAAAGTAAGCTACCGACCATCTAAAGTAAAATACCTAATATAGTTTGATTTTATAAAAAAAAAAAAAAAATTTCAATATATATTTTTAAGTACTGCCCTATTTGTGTTCTGGATGTTTATCAAACGAACATGGCAATCTAGACATTTGCGGTAAAATCTGCCTCTTTGCGGACGATACTATATAGTTTCACTTGGAGAGGCCCAGATGTTAATAAAAATTAAATGCAGTTAAAAAAATTAAAAGGAAAAAGTATATGTAATTTTAGCTGATAGTAAAGAGTAGTAAAAGCTTAAAAAGTCAGCGAAAACCGCATCTTGAATGATCTTCTTCAAACCGAAGATATTAGGCAAAAATTATAATAAACTGGCCAAAAAATAAGCCCTTAAGTTACCTTAGTTTTTTACAAACCGGTATCATAAGCCTCTTGTATTATGTCCCATCTAAAAAAATACAGATAGAACTAGTTAGTTTATTTTCAAAATCGACAAGAATTACCTAATACAAGATCTAACTAATTAATGACATTAGTAAAACGAAACAAAAATATGCAAAATTATGAAGATTATGAAGCTATTAATTATAGTACACCTTATCTAGCAAAAATTGTGTTAACAAACTCCATTTTCATATTTTTTTTGCAGTTGCGCCCCCTAGCCGTCGTTCTACGAAACTTTTCGAAAAATAATTTCCCACAATTTCTCATTAGCCCTTTTAGTTATAAATATTTTTTCGTTAAAACCCTACGGCTAATACCTTTCGAGATACAGCCGAGAACTATTCTTAGTAGGACACCCCAGGTTACCAAATGCCAAAAAAATGTCAATCATCTGTCTTCTGCAGTTATCAAGTCGCTTTTCATTCCTTCCCGCATTTCGCAAAACTCTGAAATCATACGTACTGGAGAGAGCCATATATGCGGTAAACGACTTGTTTTGTTGATGTTAATTGTAAACGAATTTTGAATTTTAAAATTTTATCATCTCACACACTGTAAAGTCTAGACTTATAATATTTTAATAACCCTTAACAAGTTATATCCATTTACAATTATTTTCCTATTGTAAAAGTTTATTGATACGCCTTTTTTTGTGTTCTGTAGTGCCCATGTATGTTCTATTTGTAACTTCAATGACTTAATTTTTTTTTTTTTGAATTGTATGATTTGTATTGTATATTTTTTGGGCTTTTGTTTGATTTGTAAATGCTTTGTCGATGAATCTATTTTGGCTTTTTGTGCAATAAACCGTTATTTATTTATTTATTTATTTTAAAAAAGGCTGAAAAAAGTTATATTTTTTATTTATTAATTTCTTCATACCGTTCATATACCTACGCCAATCGTAATACCCTTGATTATGTATAAATAGATATACAATGAGGGCTTAGTAAAATCCTATCTTCTAGATGGCGCCTTGCCCGTTCTGAATTTTTGTATTCCCCTACGATATTCTTTGAGGGAAATCCGTTAAACCCGCCCAACGTTCAAAAATGCTCTTCACCACTACTCAAGGGCGCGAGTCACATCTATTGGCTCCTTATTACACCGTTCACGCGATGTTTTACGAAAATAAGCTGTATTTTCAATTCTATCTATATTAATAAAAAAAAAAAAGGGAAAAAAATCATATTCGTTTCTAAATTCGGCAGTTTTGTTATCTTTCTCGACTTCTGCGTTTCGTTTAGTTTATGTCTTAAAAAAATTAATTATTATAAGCTTATTCGAGTGAAATACCTTAAATGCAATCTAACATAATTAAAAAAATCATTTTTCGTCCTCGCGAAGAAACGAAACAGTATTCATTTTTTGATATTTGAGGCATTACAAACTATTATTTCTCATGACGTTTATGTGTTCGTGCTTACGTTAGAAAGTGTGTAATGTCGTATTCTACCTGCTGAAATAATAGTTTTGAACATATTTAATTAAACAAGAAACTAGTATAAGTGAAATATGAATTCTAAAAAAAATATATTTATTTCTCTAAATTCATATAGATTTTAAATCACTCTTGGTCTTTAGAATCTTAGAGTTGTGTATCTTATCTTTATACAGAAGGTAATTATAAACTTTATTTTCTATAAATATAAAAAAAAAAAAAAAAAAAAAAAAAAAAAAAAAAAAAAAAACATATTAAAAATACTGATTTTATGCTCTATAATTATGTTTTCATTCTTACTTGCTTTGTTTCGAACTGTCAGAAATTTTGTATTTTACAAGTTTTCTGTAAATATAATAAGCGTAAAATAGTGTTTATTCTACATTCAACCCCGTGTTTAGATAAAGCTTCATATCAGACTTCCTATTTTATATTTTCACTCAAAATTATCATGATTTTGAAAATGGTATGCTTGCATGCAAAAGTAGCGTAAATTTGACAGGGAAGGCTATTTTTATAGCATATACAGTTCATAGATTTAAATACATATTTACTTTTAAAAAAAAAAAAAAAAAAAAAAAAAAAAAACAATATTTTATTTTTTCTTGGTGAGATTTGTCAAGAAATTTGTCATTCCAGAAAATATACTATAATGTCGTAATCTTATAGAGTTCATTTTGACCCTTTTGGATTAATTTTTTTGTTATATAATAAAATATATATTAAAGCCCTTCTAAGTTAAAAATAAGTAATATACAGGGTTGTTTACCCTGTTTGGGTTGTGTTTTTGAGTATTGTAGCTAAACAGAAGTTTAAGATGGATAGGTATTCTTAAACATTCATTTAGATGATTAAATTTCTTATATTATTTTTTTGTTATATTACAGGATGAAGTCAAAACTAGATTATATGCCTCTTATTTCAAATGAACGACTGTATATTATTATCATAAATCAACAAATCTTTTATCCAACTTTTAACTAATCTTCAATAAAAAGAATTGTTTCAATAATTCTCTTTGAGAATAAACATGATTTGTTTTTCGCAATTTGTATTATTATGAGGGTTGTGTCTGGTATAAGTGATGTACTCTACATATTTATCAGCGTAACAAAATATTAATGAATTGGATGTCTAAAATAATTTTCCTTTTCTATTTATTTTTTTACTTGGCGTATCAGTGTAATAATTATTTATTTTATCGCTGCAGCAAATAATAATTATGTAATAAAAAAAAAAAAAAAAAAAAAAAAAAAAAAAAAAAAAAAAAAAAAAAACTTTTTTAAATATTTTGTTCAAAACGAAAAGTGTGAAAAACACTACGTTTATGTCATAAGTTCTCTTTGAAATAATCGAGAAAAACCCAACATTAGTTTTGACGCCACCAGTATACATCATGCATTATAGTTGATCATACTGCAATTTATTATACATACGTAGTTTTGTTTGGTGAAAATGAAACTTTCTAAAAGTATTCCAAATTAACCATTATATAAAGAAATTTCCTACTAATAATTTTGAAAGACATTTGAATGGGCAGACAATCTGGTCTAAAATAATCATATGTCTAAAAAATTTAGTCTAAAATAATCAAAAAAATCTTTTAAAAAAAAAAAAAAAAATTTAAAAAACTCTAAAAGAAATAAGGTTTGTTTATTATATTCTTCATTTTTATTAATTATTGATAGGGTGACTGCTAAGTGGTCGTCCTCGCCACTTTAACCAACCTATGGGTGGGACCATGATAGACCTTCAGAGATTACAAATGCGAATTCTTCAAAACCTGTTAATCTATAATATATAATACAACCGCTCTGTATTAAATTTGTTCTTAACGGTCCCCTCAATGATGCGAAAAAAAAAACTCGGCCGTCTATATATGATACGTACAACAATAATACTGACATCGATACTTCATTTCCAAGCACCTACTGCGAACGCCCGTTTTTCTACGTCGTTGCTATACCACTTCTACCTCTCCCCTATCCTTTAATGACGATCCTATTTCTAATCATATAAAAATAAGATACCTGATTGATTCTTCCGTAATATTATAAAATGAGATATCATGGATAATAGCCAATAAAGTTAATTTATCTCCGTTTGTCTTGGAATTCAAAAGTCAATAAAAAACCAAGAGGCATCGACCAAATCTACATGAGACACAGTTCAACATTATTTTAGTATATATGGGTGCCATGCTTCAAAAAAGACACGGTGTGCCGACTATAGAGTAACATTTCTTTATCGCAAAAACTCTATTTTATTAAACTCTTTATTGGTTATTTGTCGATTCTGCCTAATAATTCATATAGACTTTTTTTTATATAAATAAGTTAGATTTGGCAAAAAAACAATGACTTCTATCCTGTTTTACATATAATGTGCGTTGTTGTCCCAGGAATGGGCACGACAAGATTTGTAGGAGTGTTTACAAGAGGTTGAAGAAAAAGCATATACTGTAAAAAATAGAAGTTGCATGCTAAACTGTAGTCAAACAGGTGTTTTTTTGGCCTGATCCCTATCTATTATTATTTTTTTCTGATTTTTTTTTTTTTTTTTTTTTTTTTTTTTTTTTTTGAAGAAAAGTTTATAATTGATCAGCTACATCTATACTCGTATACAGCTTGCAATCGTCTGATTTTTCAATTTTTTATCCTTCCTTTTCATACTTCTTACACTATAACAAACGTTTTGGCATGGACAAATACAAAATTCACGCTTAATCTATTTCAAGCATTACAAGCATATATTTACTATATTATTTTTTTTTTTTTTTTTTTTTTTAATATATTATATTTTACGTAACTATGCAGTTTATTAACTATACCGGGTGTTTTTCAAAAATGTGGCTTGCATTGACCGTATTCAATTAGTCTCATCCGGCTTATCAATTCCGTTGTTCTCACCGGATATAGACTATACATATCTTGGTTTTTAACTAGGGTACTCGTACCAGATTTTTCTTACTTGTACCTTTGACAGACCTATGGCCATCCCCTGTGAAGCTAGAATAAATTTAATCGTCCGTTAAATTCGTGAACTTATTTACTTACAAAAATTGTATTTTAAAATTACACAATCTAGCGCAGTGCCCATGTATAAAAGAACACCATGGTTAACCGGTCTATAAATCGGCTAACGACATTTTGACTCGATATACGAAGTATGTGGTACCAAACTATTAATAAAAAAAAAAAAAAAAAAAAAAAAAAAGAAAAAGACACAAAAAATATTAGCACGATTAAATCAATTTTCCCAAGCTCCGTCTTGATTAAAAATTAAATTTTTTTTTGTATTTAAACATTTTTAATGAATAAGTTTTCAATACATAATGCTAATTTTTCTTTCAAATTGGAACAATGTCAAAGTTGACATATTATGTATATTTGTCTACTTCTCTATATCAAGCGAATGTTCATATTCTCTAGTCAAAATAAAGTATTAACACAACACTACGCGAATGCCAGGTACCACTTTACAAAATCAATGTCGTGGTACTTCGCAGTACGATGCTTATTCCGGAGAACGCCAAGACAAGTGGACGCGCGGTATTAAACTACAGACGGATACGACGACATTACACCGCAAAAACACAATAAAACAAGTTAAAGAGGTCGAGAACCCTTCTTGAAAAAACACTCATACAGGCTGCTGACGTTGAAAGGACGTCTGCAGACTATCTTCTATTTAAAACGTAGTCAGTCCGATTTCAAAAAGATATAGGTTAGAACACCCCCTGTAGATTACCTTAAATAGTCTAATATAAATTATCTAATATTTATTCTTCTAACAATTACATATCTATAAAACAAGTTTAGCTTACACATTTATTACAAAGAAATATATCGTAAAAAAACATAATAGAATCTTTACGCAGAATCTAAAATAAATAGGATGTTACATTTTAAAAAAAAAACATGATATGGTTAAATCCCGCCACGACTTTTTGACAGAAGTTACCCTATGACGTAGAGTAGGCTTATAGTATTCATATTAATATTCTTTAATTATCCCATCTAAAAATAATACTTCTCTTCATACTAAATTGATATACCCTGTCTTAGTATCGCCAATCAACGTAGGGCCATGAAACAATCAAAAATTATATATAAATCCAATGTCCAAAAATAAAAATAAATGAGAACTGTAATAACGCTATCCTTTGACTGTATAAATTCGGTCGAATCAGATAAGATATCTTTATTCTTTACCGAGTATTAAATTCGAAGAATTCCTATTCCCTACTTCTTTGCCAAGTTCAATAGTCTCCGCCCCTGTATTTAGCGTTTTTAATTTCCTGCACAGTGCTACAGTCCGATTATAACAAGGCAGCTATTGCTTAAACTATTAATATATTAAACAAGCATATATACCTCTATACACTACTAAACTTTGTATAATATAAATATTTAAAAACAATAACTTATTTGAAATTTGCAGTGTCGATTGCGGAATATGATTAATCTCGTTTGATATCGCACACCTATTTTCATCTTATCACTACTGGCAGGTATTTTATCTTGAATTTCGGGTACTGAGTTAGATAACTGATCCGATTAAGAATAATAGTGCAGCCATATTAATATGACTCCCAAAGCCCGTCTAAATTTATTTTTAGGTATAGTGGTAGTGTTTTTATTTTTTTATATATACGATAGAAGCAGACCTTTCAATTCGGTAGGGAATTATTCGTATATAAACAGGTATGCTATAAATATTATTTAAAAAATGAGTTTACCAATAAATGTGTACGTTTTTTCGACAATATAAATATTATAGTAAGAAACTTATTGAATTTTATATCATGAAAATGGAGATATTTTGTCCAAGAATTTTTAAATGACCAACAACCAATTTTAAATCATTTTTTATATTTATAATGAGTAATTTTATTTATTAATTTTCATATTATTTACAAAGATTATATTGAGCAGCGTCTCTTTGTGGAAAAATTTCGGGGATGTTTTTAAAAACATCATAACACGTGAAAATGGTTAAAATGATTTTTAAAAATATATTTATTATTATTTATAAGCATTAAAATACACTTCTGTTATTGTGATTAAAATTAGTGATCGAAAAAAAAATTATACTGATTTACATATAAAATGACAGCGATCTTTACTTCATAGCCGTCTCTGACACCGTTTTCTTTTCGGTCATATTGTACTTTAAAAAATTAACTTATTTTGATTCCAAAAATACGTAGTAGTTCTATGTCCAGGGAATATTGGGACACCCTGTATAATATAAATTAATAGTTCCAATATAAATATTATCTTTTAATATATCGTGTGTTATCTTATCTCGCTACTAAAAAACTGCATTTTCCATTAGTGCACTTATATCGGTATTACTATTTATGATAGCAGATTATTTGCAAATAATAATTTATCTAAAATATAATCCACTTCAAGCAGATATCTGTCTACTGCAATTTTTATTAATATACAGGGCGAGCCTTAAGTAAGTGCAAATATTTTTTGGGGTAGTATAATAGATATTTACGATACAAGTGAGTTAAGATACGCGTGTGAAAGTTGCACGAGTGCGTAGCACGAGTTGTGTAACCACACAAGTATCTTAATGGAGTTAACTCGCGTGTATTGTACAATATTTTATCTACGTCTAACTATAAAAACACACAATGAATGTTTCACTGACGAATGCACGTTTACCATAAATAATGAACCCAATGTTTAAAATTATCGATATTGGAACAAAGAAAACCAACACAGGTTTGTCGAAACAAGGACGCAATATCCACAGAAAGTAAATGTTTTGGCAGGGATATTGGGACACAATATTATCGGGCCATTATTTCTTACGCGAAATTTAAATGCAGAATATTATTTGGAACTACTCGAAAATCATATTTTACCTGCTTTACATGATGCAGCTAGGGAAAATCAGGAAGTTTGGTACCAAATGGATGGCTGCCCGGCACATAGTAACCTGGCTGTTCGGGAATATTTAGACAATAGTTTTAAAGGAAACGTTATTGGCCTAAATTTTTTTTTTATTTTGCCAAATGATTTCTTTCTCTGGGGCCATTTAAAAAAAACAGGTTATACAAGGATAAAAAATACCCAAATCTAGACGAGTTAAAAAATAATATTTCTGCCGAATGCAATAGAATTTCAGTTTACCAACTAGCGAATGTAAGAAGAGAATTTTATGATCGCCTGGGTTATTGTCTAGCAGTCGATGGAGGAATATTTGAACATCTTAAATCCTAAAGTTCTAACAATTTAATAGTACCTACCTACATTAATAAGTTATTGAATATTGTAATATTACTATAATTAACCTTGTAATTGATTACTTTATTTTACTTTAATTCATATTAATTTGTATTTATAAATACATCTTTTAGATTTCCGATGTAGGAATGAGTTTTCAATAATAATAAAGCACTAAATAGGTAAATTTCTGAAATGACAACTTCATTTGACAGTTATTTTTTACCTTGACTGGTGCTCATAAGTAAATACAGGGCCATAAGAAAGGAGAAATATTTAAAAAGAAATCGGCGATAACTCGTAAACGAGCTAATCAAAAATATCTAAAGTTATTGTTTTGAATGTGGGTTACAACCTAAATAGAATTATTCTCCAAAATAATTAGGGAAGCCAATAATTGAGCCCATTAAATTTTACATGGGATTTTTTATGTCCCGTCCGACGATGCAATACCCGGTATACCTATCCTAAAAATCAATTATCTTAATACCTTTGTTCAAATAACACCATGCATGGCAATGTCAATATGACAGTAAATAATATTGATGTCACTAGTTTAAAAAATGGGCGATTCGGAAAGTATTCCCTCTGACATTGAAGAAGAGGCATTCAGAGCCATTTCTGGATTGCTTCCAGCAAGATCGAAACAGAAGTATATGAATATACATACTCTAAGTATGAACAATGGTGCACCGAAAAAAAAGTACACAACTATGGATAGGTACTCATAACATATTTTTCCAATTTAGTGCAAAATAAATGTTTTAAAATTATTTTTTTCTGTTTGGTAGTCATCTAAACATGGAGTGCAATAATGAAAATGCGTGAGTTAAGAAACTCTTACACTCACTCAAAATGCGTGAGTTAAGAGCTTCTTAACTCACTGACGTAGATAAAAAGTATTATCGCCGCAGAAACACATTTTTTTCGTGAACAAATTTGTTGAAAAAAATTTTAATTTTTTTTTAATTTTAATTAAAAAAAACTTAATCTTATCTTCATAATATGGCAACATTATGTATTAGATTAAATTTCCAACAAAGAAATCCCAGAAAAGACCTAGCGGTTTTCAAAATGTAAGCAAAAAATCATTTTTTTTTTAAATTTTCAAAGTAAAATATCTCTGTTTTTTCGATTTACTTGAAAAACGGTGAAGAGAAAATATGTTTCTTTTTTTTTATCGAGATCTACCAGCCCTAAAAACATTTGCACTTATTTAAGACTCACCCTGTATAATCCACTTCAAACAAATTAACTGTCTACTGCAATTTTTATTAGTATTTATCGGTATAATTCAAGTTCAGCATTTTTATAACCTAGACCTTTCTCAAGTGGAAAAATTAAGTGAAATTAACCCAAATTCTTCAAATAGAATTAGTTATTTTTTATACAAGACGATAAAATGGTATTTTATTGTCGACCGAAAAGACTGAATTAATTTCGGGAGACGATGGTGCAATTTTATCGTCGTGTATAAGACAATCACTTATAAACAACACGGGATCATTAGAAGGCGAAATAAGAAGAAGATGTGAAATGACAAGAGTGGCAGTGCGAAAACTCTCAAAGATATGGCGAGACAAAAACATATCTAAACACTTAAAAAAAAGGCTTGTTCACTGCCTAATATTTCCTATATTAATGTATGGCTCCGAGTCCTGGACGATGAGACAGTCAGAAATGAAAAAAATTGACGCAACTGAAATGTACTGTTGGCGATGAATGCTCAGAATTCCCTGGACTGCCCGGCGAACCAATGAATCCATAATCGAAAAACTGAACATCACTCAACGCCTCTCAACTTCTATACAGTCACGTATACTTAAATATTTCGGTCACGTTATGAGGAGGGATACTGACTGTATGGAAAAACTCATTATACAGGGCAAGGTTCCGGAAAGAAGACCAAGAGGCCGCTCGCCCTCCCGATGGATAGACCAGCTATCAAAAATCACCCACAAGCCAGTGCACACGCTTGTACATGAAGCACAAGACAGGGAATTATGGAGACAAACCTCGCACATCACCTGACCACTACAGAGAGAGAGAGAGAGAGAGAGAGAGAGAGAGAGAGAGAGAGAGAGATAAGACAATATTTTTTCCATAGCGAGTTACGTTTTAAAAAATATTCAGAAATTATTATTTTAAGAAATTTATTACGATTAGAAAAAATATTGTGCTGGGTTGGCGTTGGTTTTTATGTAATTTGACAAATAAATAAAGCTGTCTCTTTGGTTGTCAGTTTTGAGTTTTGAGTCAATATTTTTTAATTCTCTTTCGTGTCGATTGCTGATTGAATTGGAGCCAGAAATGACTCAAAAGGAACTAAGTAAATTACCAATAGATATTCAGGCTGAGACGACAAACGCCATAATCAAACTACTTTTACATCCGGAATAACTTTGAAAAGGAATACAAAAATTTTCAAAAATGGAAACAATTAAAAAACGTGCGAGAAGAAATAAAATTTTTAACCTATCCTCGCTGTTAAAGTATCATTTAATCTACCCTGGCGGTTAAAGTACTATTTTATCTACTATTTTTGATAGATATAAGGCAATTTTAACAGTTGCTATGGAAAAAAAATAAATAAAAAAGAAAATATACCTACTGGTGTATGGGGGTGTGATATTAGCCCCTACATACTATTTTTATTTCCTTTTTCTGTTTCAGAGAACTAGATATCCTCACAGATCCGTTCACGTGCAACAACATTCCAGAAAGGAAATATCTGGAACAACGGGGACTGTACTATGTTCTGTTCAATTTTGTTGTAGCACAGAGGAATTTTGGATGTTCTGAAACTATTACATTGACTGCTCCAGGTGATTTTCAGTAAGACCATTTCTAGATGTTTGTTAGAAAAAAGTTTGATAAGTAGTTTATATTTTAAAAGCCACAGAAAACATGGGCTGAAATTTGAAATGCAGCCCTAAAAGTGTATAAAATTTTGTTATTTTTAGTCCTATTCCCAACTAACTGGGCTAGTACCTGTGACATCACCCATATTTTTTTTACTTTTTATGCTAATTATGCACGCTATTTTCGCGCTATCGTTTGGTGGATATCTTGGCGTTGAATAAACTGTAGTATCCTAAATAATGTTTCCAGGGTGCACCTAAAAAGTGGCTGTGACAACTTTTGATTTTTAAATGGCACCATCGGTATTTTGTTACTTTATTCGATAGAAAATAATACTCTGAATAATATGACATAATATATGTTAACTTTTGACATTTTCGAATATGGTTTATTTGAAATTGCAACATGCGGTTCATAAGGAGAATTTGATTCGAAATATCAAGTGTGTGGTACCAAATTATCGTAAAAAAATGCTTTTTCCAAATATGCTAATGAGCCAGCCTCGTTCCATTTCAAATAATTGAGATATGAGCATCGATTTGGGCATCTTTTAATCGGTCAGAATAAGACACTAAAAACATCAGACGATCAAATCTATTTTTCCAAGGCTTCTTAATGAAAAATTAGTGTTTTTAACACAGCCATGGCACTCTAGATTGAAATTTAAAATATCTACAATTTTTTTTAAGTGAAAATTTACAAAGTTGACATATGAATGATACGTGATTTTATTCAGAGTGTCATTTTCTATCAAATAAAGTAAAAATATACCGAGGGTGCTACTTAAAAATCAAAAGTTGTAGTCATTTCCGGTGAAACAGGAAGTAACAGAAAACAATTGAATGCGTCAATCAATCTTAATTTATGACATATACTAATATACCAAATCTCGTTTTTTATCTGAAAAAATAAAAAAGTTGTGTTGTTCAAAGCAGTCTACAAGAAAAATTACTTTTTTATTTTGTAGATTTTTGTTCAGTGGTAAAAATCAGAATTGCAGTATGCTAATTTCATTTTATTCCAATTTCTTTCTTTACAGATTTCTGGAGAATTTAGTACCCCTTATAAGAGTATGGCAAGGTGCTGTAAGTATTGGAGTATATGCCCCAGGAAATGACTTCCATATGGCACTAGCATCAATAGCTTATCTAAGAAATTGTGAAGAAACACTAATCAAGGAACTGGTTTCGTTCCATTTGATTTTTGACGTAGACCATGTTCCAAATTCACAGGTAGATTTGAATAAAAATTTACGAAATTAATTATAAACCAGAATTACTACGAGAAAAAAAAATACAGTATGTCGAAGAGAATAATCAGTAGTCTTCAACAATTAGGTAATCTAGTATTACTCTAATCTGTGGCTATTCGCCCCGACGGAACCCCCCCCCCCTCCCCAAGTGTCATCTTTCATAATATAGAAATACACCAAGAAATTCACGACTGCGATTTTCTTTTAGTAAAGTTAATTAATTTTAACTAATACTAACAATTGTAACTAATTATTAAGCTACTTGTTAAAGATAAGTAATAAATAGTTTTGTTTTGTCATGGCAACTAGGATGTTATAGAGTAATGGTATTAAAAATAGGGATAAAAATAGAAAAAAATGGAATAAATCGCTACTACTAAATACTTAATAAAAGTTGAAGAGTGTACCATTTAAAAAATTTAAGATTTTTTAATTTTAAGTAGTTGAAATTCATAAATATATTTTGAACACCCTGTATCATTTAACTAAAATAATTTTTAGATTATTAAATAATCTTTTTTTTATCCAAATTTTGGTATTCCAACTTCAGAAACAATTAATGGCACCACTGACAATTTTTTACCACATTGCAATTTAACATTTGTTTAAACAAATTGAAATATTACAAAAACTATTAATTTTAGGTATATAACATAATACCGGGTGCGTCTCAAAAGTGGCTCACCCCTCTAACTTTTTTATTTTTTTAGTTAAAAAATCGAGATTTGGTATGTTAGTATCTGACATAAATTAGGATTGACTGGTGTATTCAATTCTTTTTGGTCACTTCAAATTGACTTGAAAAAAATATATAAACTACCACAAAGGGAGTGGTGGTTGTTTTTTCAACCAAAGACTGTTAAAGCAAATAGTATACCGGGTGTTGCATCGTCGGACGGGACATAGGAAATCCCATGTAAATTTTAATGGGGTCAATTATTGGCTTCCCTAATTATTTTAGAGAATAATTCTATTTAGGTTTATTGAAGAGCTCTAAAACCCAAATTCAGAAGAGTGCTAATTATTTAGTGCTTTACTATTATTGAAAACTCATTCCTACATCGGAGATCTTAAAGATGTATTTATAAATACAAATTAATATGAATTAAAGTAAAATAAAGTAATCAATTACAAGGTTAATTATAGTATTATTACAATATTCAATAACTCATTAATTTAGGTACTATTAAATTGTTAGTATCTGACATAAATTAGGATTGACTGGTGTATTCAATTCTTTTTGGTCACTTCCTGTTTCACCGGAAATGACAACTTTTGATTTTTAAAAGGCACTCCCGGTATTTTGTGACTTTATTCGATAGGAAATGACATTCTGAATAGAATGACACATCATATGTCAACTTTTGACATTCTCGCTTAATAAAAAATTGTATTTTAAAGTTAGACGGTTATTAAAAAATTACCGAGAGTGCCATTTAAAAATCAAAAGTTGTAGTTATTTGCGGTGAAACAAGAAGTGACCAAAAACAATTGAATACACCAATCAATCCTAATTTATGTCATATACTAGCATACCAAATCTCGTTTTTTTATCTGAAAAAATAAAAAAGTTACAGAGGTGAGCCACTTTTGAGACGTACCCGGTATATGAGAAAGTTATGGAATTTTAAGCAGAATCTAAAAATTAAATAAAATATACGGCGTTACATTTAAAAAAAAACATATGTCTGAAGCATCTTGTATACTCTCTAATAATTTTAAAATGTGTATTTTAACCTTCCTTATAACTTTTATATTTAATTTTTTTTGTAAACCTCCAAACAAATGAGTTAATGAACCTTACTATATCGTTGACTCACTCTGTACAATTCATTTAATATTATTTTAATATTTTCTCTTTAATAATAAAATATTTAACAAACTTTTATTAATTTTTAGAACAATACTCCTCTAATAGATTCCTACATCGATCATTACGACTGTTCAATCCCGCCACCTTGGGAAACAATAAAACAAGAAGACACATACAGACGCCAAAACAAATTGTTCTATCCTTTGAACGTGGCGCGCAACGTTGCCAAGTCGGCCGCCAGAACTTACGTGCTCTTTCCCAGCGACATGGAATTGTTCCCGCCCAGAAACTTCGTGGGAAACTTTCTGCAGTTCGCCAAGGAAAACTTGAAATTATTCCAAGAGAACTCGAAAAGTGTGTTTGTATTGCCGATCTTTGAGATAGAGGAGGGACAGACAATACCGGAAAACAAGACGACCTTGCAGGAGATGTTGAAAAATGGGAAGGCTATAGTTTTTCATAAAAATATTTGTTTGGAATGTCACAAGGTAAGCTTTAAACCCTCATTCTGAATCTCGAAATTAGTGGTTTCAGTAAAACAAACTTTTACGCTAAACGTAACGTTCCTTTAATTACAATGTAAGCATTCAGAACGTGAAAATTAAGCTTCGTTCAGAACCTCCCAATTAGTAGAATAAATTAGTGGTTTCAATTACACTTTATACTTTTTAGTTTACAATCATTCTCAATGTTTAAAAAACGCAATTAAAATTAATAGAATATCCTAGCAACAACTTGCGTTAGTGAATTGTATCCATAGAGAAAGCCTAATATTTCGTTTATAAAACAATCAAATTTTGATTTATAAACTATATATTTATAATTTTATATATATATTTTTTATAATTTTTTTTTTATATATAAACGGGATTTGGTATAAGTATTTGATACTTTTTTCCAACTACAGCCTATTGCTGCCTTCCCGTTACCCTACGCCACACGTCTCGATTTAGTGCGTCATCAGCTTCTAGGTTACGAGCTTCCATTGCTTCCTTAACCGTTCCGTTCCAGGATTTTCTAGGTCTGAAAAAAACTTCCTCCGGCATACGTAGAACATGTCCAAACCACTTTAAGCTGAATTTTTCAATTCGATCTAGCACTGTCTCCTCCGATGCATTCATGATACGCCTGACCTCGATGTTTGTCTTTTTTTCCATCCTAGATATACCTGCGCTCCTTCTAAGATAGTCCATTTCAACAACTTGGATTTTGCGCTTCGTATCTGCACTCAAAGTCCATAGCTCTGACCCATAGCAAAGAACTGACTCCACCAATGTTCGTCCAAGTCTCTTTTTAGTTGTTGCAGACAAGTTTCGGTCCCACCAGAGGCTATTAAGACAACCAATAACTTGTTTGCTCTTCTGAATTCGGGTTTGTATTTCTTCTTTGCCCAAACCCTCGTTGTTGATAGTAGCACCCAGGTATTTAAATTTGTCTACTTGTTGAATCTGGACGTCATCATCTATGAAGACTTCAAAACAAGCGTTGGAATTGACAGCTAAGTATTCTGTCTTTTTTAGACTAACCTGAAGTCCCCATTTGCTATATTCTTGGTAAAGCCTCTTAGTCATGAACTCCAGATCGAAAGAGTCCTGCGCAATCACGACCTGATCGTCTGCAAAGCTCAGAGTAAACAGTGTATCTTCCCCAATGGGTATTCCCATGCCTTGGCATCTCCTCTTCCATTCCCTAAGGGCTACTTCAACGTAAGCATTGAAGATTAGAGATGATAAGCTGCATCCTTGTCGCAACCCTTTTGTGTTATTTATTGGATTGGATAGTCTGTGTCCTATCTTAACATACGCTTTATTTTCTTTATAGAGCTCTTTTATTATCTTAAGTAGGGATCTATCTACTTCTAAAATATTCAAGGCTTCCCATATCTTGTTGCGAGGAATAGAGTCGTACGCTTTCTCCAAATCAATAAACGCTAGATGGACTTCTTGATCTACTGCTATCTTTTTTTCCATCACCTGCTGTAGGACAAAGAGGTTATCTGTGCAAGATTTCCCCGGTGTGAATCCGTTTTGATCTTCCGAGATTTTGTCACCAATATTATCCCTGAGACCCTGCAGAACTTTTCCAAAAAGCCTGCTCACTGAACTGTTAATGCTCAGGCCTCTATAACAACCGGGGTCGTTGCGATTTCCCTTTTTAAAGATAGACACTATATGAGCCACTCTCCATTCTTGGGGTAGTTTATTTTGCAAACAGCACTGGTTGAACAGCTCTGCCAGGCGCCAGCGCAATTTCTCGGTCCCACACTTTAACAATTCTACTGCAATGTTACCAGGACAATCAAATTTTGATTTCTAACCACAAATTCTCTTGACGGAAGATAATCAAAGGCCAAAATAACATTTCTCGCAAATTTTCAAGTATAATTAGTGGAAAAGTTAAACGTTTGATAACTTTTTCTACTAATTGAAAAGGTCTACCACTAATTTTAACGTCCTGAATGTTTATATTGAAATTAAAGAAACAAGCTTCTAAGTTAATTGAAGGTTCGAATGAAGCTTTAAGCTTCATTCTGAACCTCGCAATTAGTGGAACAAATTAGTGGTTTCGGTGTGGAAACTTTTACGCTAAAGTTTGTTTTTTTAACTCTTTATAGGGCAGGACTAATTATTTTCTATTTTGATCAAATTGACTTGAAAAAAATATATAAACTACCACAAAGGGAGTGGTGGTTGTTTTTTCAACCAAAGACTGTTAAAGCAAATAGTATACCGGGTGTTGCATCGTCGGACGGGACATAGGAAATCCCATGTAAATTTTAATGGGGTCAATTATTGGCTTCCCTAATTATTTTAGAGAATAATTCTATTTAGGTTTATTGAAGAGCTCTAAAACCCAAATTCAGAAGAGTGCTAATTATTTAGTGCTTTACTATTATTGAAAACTCATTCCTACATCGGAGATCTTAAAGATGTATTTATAAATACAAATTAATATGAATTAAAGTAAAATAAAGTAATCAATTACAAGGTTAATTATAGTATTATTACAATATTCAATAACTCATTAATTTAGGTACTATTAAATTGTTAGAACTGTAGGATTTAAGAAGATGTTCAAATATTCCTCCATCGACTGCTAGACAAAAACCCAGGCGATCATAAAATTCTCTTCTTACATTCGCTAGTTGGTAAACTGAAATTCTATTGCATTCGGCAGAAATAGCATTTTAACTCGTCTAGATTTGGGTATTTTTATCCTTGTATATCCTCTTTTTAAATGGCCCCAGAGAAAGAAATCATTTGGCGAAATATCAGGAGACCTTGCTGGCCAATTTACTGTATGATTTAGGCCAATAACGTTTCCGTTAAACCTATTGCCTAAATATTCCCGAACAGCCAGGGTACTATGTGCCGGGCAGCCATCCATTTGGTACCAAACTTCCTGATTTTCCCTAGCGGCATCATGTAAAGCAGGTAAAATATAATTCTCGAGTATTTCCAAATAATATTCTATATTTAAATTTCGCGTAAGAATTAATGGCCCGATAATATTGTGTCCGAATATCCCTGCCCAAACATTTACTTTCTGTGGATATTGCGTCCTTGTTTCGACAAACCTGTGTTGGTTTTTCTTTGTTCCAATATCGATAATTTTGAACATTGGGTTCATTATTTAAGGAAGAGAACGAGAAACGAGGGACTCACATCCTAAGAGAAATGATCGAAATTATACAGAATATGTTAACGATTTTGGAAAATATCATCCGAGCTGTAACTTTGGTGTACTAAATGAAAAGAAATAAACGTCACAAATAGATTTGTTTCTATATTTTTAAATTTTTATCACACGAAATTTGCATAGAAAATGCTTAGACGACAATTATTACCTATATAATACACAGCGAATTCAGACAATTTTTTTGAATTGTTCGAATGATTAATCAAAAACTGATAAAATTATTGTGCATTCAAGTTAAACGGTTAGTTTAATCAACTAATCGTGAGAAATCATTTTTGTAGAGCAGTAAATTTCCTACAAAACCATGGCTTGCGCGTATCGTAATGATTTTTTGTTAACGAGTTATAAAATTCGTAAGAAAAAAGAAATCTGTCTTAAAATAATCAAATTTCAATCTTTAATAACTTTCGAACGGTGAGGTTTACACAAAAATTGTAAGAAACCTTTTTTGTAGATAATTTAATTTCCTATAAACAGATGAGAAGAGATATTTTTTCAAAATTGTAGATACCGAGATATGAATTTTTCTTTCTAATAATAAGGAAAAGTAAATATATGAGAATCAGATACACTTCTATTATGAAAATAAAACACAAGTCAAACTATATTATGGACACTCTTCGATACACTCTCGTTTTATAAATAAATAAATAAATAAATAATTTATTGTCAAAAAATTTTACAATTTGTAGACAAAGGTAAAGTAAACAAACAAAATAGAATACAAAACAAGTATACAAATTACATTGTCAGTCTTATTGTTTAAAATAAACATTTATAAATATTTACAATGTCAAAGAATAAAAAGAAAATAAAAAAAATAAAAAAAAAAGAACATAAAAAAACCTCAAATTGTTTCAACTAATTGTTCAGGTTATAGATGGAGACAAGTGGATAGAAGCTGCAGAAACTGAAGGTTTGAACTTATTTTCTGTCGGTAAAAGACAGGGCGCTTACCAATATTGGGAACCGTTCTTTTTATCCACCCAGAAAGAACAATTTTGGGACGAGAGATTTGTTTGGGAAGGTCAACGAGATAAGCACGTACACGTAAGTAAATATTTATCAACCAACTCAAGCACAACTATACCATATCCTTTACTCGAAACAACTCACGGAACTTTTGACCACCCTGTAACTTCATTATGCAAATTCACTTGTAATACCGTATGATTGACAAAAAGCGGTGTCCAGTTGGCATGGGAATAAACATCAATGACATTCCCCATATAATTTTAGGTACATATTATAAAATGACACAGCGATCTTCATTTAATTGCCATCGCTGAGGCCGTTTTTTTTTCGATCTTTATGTTTTTCAGGTATACGCTTTCTGTTTAATGGACTACGATTTCGTGGTATTAGACAACGCCTTCTTGGTTCACAAACCAGGAATAAAGAAAGTGAAAGTCCAAGATGAAAAGTACAGCGATCAAGTGAAGAAGACCAAACAAATTATGAAGGGTATTGAGACAGAATTGCAGAATATCTATGGTTATAATAAAAAATGTATATTATAACTTCTGGTACCCAAGTGACATTTTCACGACTTGCGACCACATGTTAACTAAACACAACGTTGGATTAGTTACAAAAAATAATTAGCTCCGTACCTTAGGTATTAAAATAAATGTCAACGTTGTTGTAACGTTGTGCCGACGTTGAACTAGTACTACAACAAAGTAAAAGCTTCTGCGACGTCGAATAAACGTTGTCTTTTGTAACGTTTTTTGCTTAAGTGATCTTTAGGTGATTCGGGCAACGTAGTTACAATGTTGGGCAATAAAGAGTTTTCCGACGTCACTTTCAGGACCTATTCCAACGTTATGCAAACGTCGTCTGTTTTACTAATTCCAACGTTGTTTAGATTTCCTTATTCTTACGTTGGTAGGACGTCGAGCCACTACCTTTTTGCAATTGTATTGAACCATAACCTTAAATCTTAAATTTTCACTTCATTGTTCTGTTCAATCAGACAGTGCAGTGCAGTTTTTGTTTTTATAAAAAAAACTTAATTAAAATGGAACATAAGAAAGGTACATATAAAACTAAATTTAAATATACATCGACATATTACCGATACTTTATCCACTCCCTCGTTTATTTAGAATATAGAGGGCGGCACAAGCTAGACTCTAGGATGACTAAATTAGGTAATCTTGCGACTAGTATACTACCTGTTAAGGCTGAACTGCGACTTTATTAGTCCAGTATGCGACTACTCGAACTACTCCATCTTAATCTCCAAAACAACAAAGTGAAAGCCGCCATGTTGTTGAATAAGAAAATGGTTCGTTCTTAAAATAGCAATTCCTACTTTTTGAATACATTAACTTGAAATATTTGACCCTAAACAACACGCGGAAACAATTTTTTCGACTGCGAATAAATTATTCTCATTTTACTAAAAAAAGAATTCAAGAAATTGTTTAAAACTTCTTTAATTTTAAGGCCCATTAGTATTTTTCAAAGTAGAAACAATACATTTATCAATAAAGTTGTTTGCGTTTAACTTTTTTTGCCTTGGGTAACGAGTTACAGAGTCGGTTAAAGTGTTTCAATAATTATAATCTTCAAACATCCTCCACACTTAAATACTTTTGTTTTGTTTTCCTTTACTGCCATCTGGCATATGTCTCTAACTAAATCATAAAAATAATATTTTTACTATAATTATCCCAATTTAGGATAAAACGCGACTTAGACGCTATATTATTATAGTTTTGTATTTCTGTGAATTAGGATTTTAAACAACGTTGCAGTTTGTACTAAATTAGGCTGCTAGCCAACGTCGGTATCCGACGTCGTTTCGACCTAAAAATTATTCTCCAAACTAGTGCAAACTAGGGTTGGCACGAGGTTGTGCCGACGTTGCGCCCCGACGTTTGGTCGCGTGACACAACGTTGTCCTGACGTCCAAATCCTGCTTGGGTACCTAAATAATTAAATTAATTTATTTATTTATTTTTGTATTTGTTTTCAAAGTTTGTTAATAAAATTACAAAGAAAACTAGCATTTGCGTTATTTTACTATACACTTAGATGCAAAAAAATCTTTTGTTCGTTTCAACACGTTCTTTTTTTGTTTGTTTGTACACTTAGTTAATTACAGTTACTTTGTTTATATCCTAAGTTCTGTTAGTGTTTCAAATATTTATTAAAACCAAGACTGTATCGTTCTTTTTTAACGTTTTTTTTTCTTAATCTTAATATAGAGTTCTAATCAGTGTCGATATAACTTTACGACAATAGTCACCATAGCTACTTCGTAAAAAAATAACATCATAAAGTAATGAGAAAAAATCTGCCCAAGGCTTAGCCCGATCCTGTCGTGTTGAGCCACACCCAAAATTCCAAACACACGTGCTTTAATTAAGGCTGGATTAAAGTTTGCAGAGCTTCAGCATTTGCCATAAAATAGCGAACAATCTGTTACAAAACCAGATACATTATATACCACTGTAATCACAAAACTTCAATCTATTTCCATATTGTAACGGAATTTTAGATTAAGTCTTTATTTTCGAGAAAATTTAGTCCAAACATAAGGAATATTTTGTTGACGTTTGACCATCAAAATCTTAAAAATAGAGAAGTTGTCTAAAAATGTGCTACAATACGGATATAGTATAATCCTTTATCTTTAATTTCCTTCTTCATTTGTGTAAAAATACCTAGCAAGTTTTATATAAAACATTAAATGCCGAACGCTTATTTTGCTACTTTTTTGGACTAGTGAAATGGACTCTTAAGACTAAATATTTCAATTGGCTGCGCTAAAGATTGAAACGGATTTAGATAAAATAGAAACAGGTGAGTTGGAAAGTCAAAAAACGGTAATAGTATTTTCTCGTACGGAGTTGTGAATGTGAAAAAGCCGTAGTTTCCACGGCTTACCTGCCTTCTTTAAACTTTTTCCAGAAATGTATCCATCCTATCGCCAAAATCGAAAAACCCGATGACTACGGAACCATAAAAGCGGCTTATGTACGCTCGTAAGCACATTATGTCACTCGTAAAACGTCATGTACGTTAATGTTAAATGTTACAAAGGTGTAGCAAAAGATTTTTAAAAAATGTCTATACCTCTGTGGCGAATTCGTCTGTTTAAAAAAAGTCTTATGGTTATTTTGCCACTGTGAGAAAACCTAGGTTAATCCAACGGAGACTAATTATTGTCAGCAGTGGTTTACTAATAAACAAATTTACGTAACGGACAAAAATACGCTTAACGTTTCGGGAAGTATGTCTCGTCCCGTCGTCGAAAGCAAAAACAACACAAAGAACAAAGAAAAAAAAGTTGCATTTAAATATATTTAAAATATTTAAATGCAACTATTCTAGAACCAATGACTAAAGAATATAAGGACATGTAACGCCCCTATACGGGCTGCAGCAGAATTTGTGATCTTTTTTTTTTGTTTTGGTGGCAAACAATGAGTCATCATTTGGTCACCAGCGACAATTTTAGCGATTTTTAATAGTTTGTGTGTAGAAAACTTTGTATAAACTTTATTACAATGGTGATTAGTTGTTCACCTTTCAAGTGTAAAAGCAGCAGCGATAAGAAAGGGCCAGGAGCTACGTCCACTCCAACTTTTTAGCGTTTTCTTATTGAATTCGATAATTATTCTTCAATTTCAATTAAAATCTATATGTACTTGATATGTGCTATACGTCGATACTAGTTTTGTACCTTTTGTTAACATTTTAATACGTTTTTTTCGTAATTAATTAGGATGATACACCATAGGCGTAGTCAAAACAATTATCAAAAAATATAAATATTGCTTCAAACAGCTAGGTTAAGAAAAATATGTGCCACGGCACTGTTTGGTGTCATCGTCACAATTTGCTCTCGGGTGTTATTTGTCGTTGGATTCTTTAGTCATTGTCTAGAACACTTTAGTTTTTTAACACATAATTACGTTCTATTAAAATGACACTATATCAATTTAAACTTCATAAATAAATAATGATAACAACAGATAACAATTACATAAGGTAAAACCAAAAAAATAAGCTTCAAACTTTCTGTATGATTATTTTTTTAATTAGTTTTTAATTTTTACGTATGTTATGTTTATTTATGTGCAACGGCCCAGCTACGTCGAAACACCGGTTCCCATTAGAACACCGAAGTTAAGCGACGTAAGGCGATACTAGTGGATGGACGGGTGACCGGTTCGAAACTCTGTATCGTGCTGTTGTCCAAAAAAAAGCCAAAAGTGTAAAATCTATTGACACACACTGCTCATTCACGCCGGTTCGAGGCCGGATGATATCGCATATCTCGTGAGTAAGAGTTCATTTAGACACTTGCCAAGCCGGTAGGCCATTGACCACGATATGGCCGAGGACCGCGGTTCGGATTCCGCGTAAACAAAGTAGGCCCCGTCCAGATTAGCCCTGGCAGCAAAAAGGAGACGTTAACTGAAATCTTTACTTTACTTTTGTAAAACTTAGAAAATAAGTTGGTTATAATAATGGTTTTATAATTCGGAAACTCTTTATTTATTTATCTAGCAATGCTAGAACACTCTATTAATTTGAAAGTCGATTAGAGAAAATAGTATGATTCATTGGCAAGCGATGTAAATATTTGCGATTAGGTAAAATTGTGATGTAAGAGGACAGGCTTAGCTTACCGGCGAGTCAGTAGTAGACGGGACGGCCGGCTGTAAAGTAGTGTTGTGTTGTGTTTTGTCACAGAGCTGACATTTGGAGGTTGCGAGTCTTATGACTAAGGTTAGGTTAGGTTAGGTATAAAGGATTAGGATATACTATACTATAGGATATATATACTATTTGGATACGAGTCTTATTGACTATTAGGATACGAGTCTTATTGACTATTTGGATACGAGTCTTATTGACTATTAGGATGCGAGTCTTTAAGCTTATTAAAATGCGAGTATTTAAGACTATTAAGGATGCGAGTCTTTTGACTATTAGGATGCGAGTCTTTATGACTATTAAGGATGCAAAGGACGCGAGTCTTTTGAGTACTAGGATGCGAGTCTTTATGACTATTAAGGATACGAGTCTTTTTGTCTATTAGGGATGCGAATCTGTTTAGCTGCAGATTTGCGTCCGGGGAAAGCCCCTATACTTATTTCAGGTGACACCAGCTAGTTGTTGAAGATTAACCAATAGATAACCGAATAATATTTGAATTAGATGGAAGATATGGAATGGGATATAATGAATAGAATACCAGTGGCTAGGGGGCGGAGTACCCCCGGGTGAGTTTTACTATTTAACTATCAATTTTGTCCAGATCAGTAAATGTTTGTTTCGTTGTTTTCTTTTACAATGAGAGCCTGCTTGCCAATGACCAACTAAATGGATATTTGAGGTGAATTTGCATTGTAAGACCCGGTTGAGTAAGCCCCAGAAATAAGCGATTTTACACTTTATTTTATGTTTATTTATGTTATGTTCTTTAAAATCTAAGAAGCTATTGCCATATATTACTAACATCTACAGATGCATGAGCAATACATTTATTTTTATTAGATTGTATTAAAAAAAGCCTCTTTTGTTTTTCTTTTAGAGGCTATCACATTTTATAATGAAAAAATTATGATTGATGATGGTTTGGCACAAAAACATTTCAAATTTATGATTTCCGTCTATTAACTATTTCGTCAACATGTTTATATAATTTATGTCAATGATGACAGGTATTGATAATTTCGATTTCAAATATCTCGAGAACTATTACTCGTAGCGATTTTTACCAAGAGATCTTTTTTACGTTAAAACGTCGTAAATGTATATTTTTTACTTAGTAGTTTTATACAGGTACGGACGAAAAGTTATTACTCTTCAAACCAGTTAAAAATATGTAGGTGGCGCCCTCTACAAGTAAGAGTCATATTGACATCAAAATCGAATCTCTCATATCAAAAACCTCCCAGACACCAAATTTCATCCAAATATTGATGTTACTTCAGAAATTATTTAGAAAAAATCGAAATAAAGATGAAACTTCTACACCCTGTATCTCCGAAACTAAGCATTTTAAGACATACATTTATAAGAGCTTTTTTACATATTTTTATCTGCAGAATATGCTGCTGAAGTTTCCGGAATACAGTTTGGACCACCCTGTATATAAATCAAAAGTTTATTGTTTTATAAGCTAAATATTACGCTTTCTCTATAGATACCACTGACTAACCCAAACTGTTGCTAGGAACGGATATAGAATGGAAACGGAAGGTATAGTGAGAATCAACCTTTATTCAGACGACTAGATTTTTAGAAATTGTGAGTGATTGGATCGTTGGAGGACTACTAAAGCTACAATTTATTTTCAAAAGGTAAAGAGTGTCCATAATAAATAAAAAAATATCAAAGTTGTATTTTTATAGGGAACAATAAAAACCCGTACATTATTACATTTTTAGTTTCTACGCTTAAAATAAAGGTAAATTTAATTAAGGTTTACCGCACTTTAATCTTACCGTCTCTGAAATATTTACGATTTTGTGAAAATACATTAAAACCAAATATTCTACTGAAGTTTTTCTATTTACTGAATTTTGTGTTGCAATAATAAATATAATACGTACGTTCTAAATAAGCATTTGTCAAAAAACTAAATAAAATTTATATGGTGTTACTTTTTTACCACATAATACGCATACAAAATTCAGTTTTTTTGGTATTTAGAGGAGTTATTAATCAACCCAAACAGTCAATCAATGTAGTTTGAATATTGGGATTATATTAATTGGTCCCCTTTTACAAGTATTTAAACAGTTTTTTTTAACGAAATACACGAACTATATCAACAATACTATACAAGCGATTTTACACTCTACTTTATGTTTATTTATGTTATGTTCTTTAAAATCAAAGAAGCTATTGCCATATATTACTAACATCTACAGATGCATGAGCAATACATTTATTTTTATTAGATTGTATTAAAAAAAGCCTCTTTTGTTTTTCTTTTAGAGGCTATCACATTTTTCATTATAATTTTTGCGTTGTTAAAATCTACCCTGTGCCCTGTGTCCCATGAATGCTGACAAATCTTAGATTTGTGAAAATCGCCCTTCGTTAAATAATCTTTTTGTTCTTTAACTCGAAGATTTAAGGGTCTAGTTGTTTTATTTTGTAGATTTTCTCACTGTGGCGAAATAGCCATAGGACTTTTTTAAAGAAAAAATTTTTAATAAAAAAAAGCTGTTCTTTGTCAAATTTTTTGGAAGGTGGTAGAATAATGATAGATGTATGGAAAATGTCCCTTATTTTTTGTATACACCTAACGTTGTTGTCGAAATATATTTCTGTGATACGTAATTATAAATTACCCTTTTTAGTACCGGCCTTCATCCTTCAATCAGAAATCTACGCTATACAGGGTAAGGCAATAGTGGGTCGGGCATCTGTAGCTCCTAGAATAAAAAACTTGAGAATTTTGTTTAAATGCGAACCTAAAGTATGTATCAGGATGTATTTCAGGAAAATATTTTAACTTCTACAGGGTGGCTCAAAAAAGTGTGAGTGAATTGGGATGACTTTTTTAAATGGAACATCCTGTATATTATTGCATTTTTTGCTTTCTTTCGGATCACTTTACATATTCCTAAGAGTCACTGAATATTTAGTGGATAAGTCTGGACATATGTCTTAGGACTTTTTTTGTTGGAAATAACCTCCCCTACCTCCTACTTTAATTTGATCCATCATTTTTGGGACACCCTGTATATAACAGTATTTTTTTTCTTTTTTTACTTTGAACGTTTATTGTACATATTTAGAATTTTATATGTTTCGATCTTATTTTACTCTATTTACAAATTATGCGAATTATTGGGAATATGCATATTTTAGACGTACTCCTACATCAATAGTTGTATTTGAGCATGAGAATAAATAAAAATTTATTTATTTATTTATAAGTAAATATATGTATTTCGATAGTTTCAGAGATATTAATAAATAAATAAAAAATATATATTTTTCAAACTTTAAAAAAAAATCTTAAAAATACAAAAACTATCCTGGAATCAAAACTATATATTATATATTTACTTTAGAAGGTCTACACTTATTTTGCTATAAATACGGTAATCGTATATCATACAGGATGTTTAAAATTCTACGCCAAACTTTCTAAAATATACAATAATTTTTCTTCGTTTTTTTAAATGGAACATCAAGTATATATTATTTTTTCAATAAATGGAGAATTAAAAGATGAACATTTTTTGTATTTAAAGCATTTTAGAATTTTTAGCGGTTCCATTTAAAAAACGAAGAAAACCTCTGTTTATTTATATTTTGGAAAGTTTGGCATAGAATTTTGAACACCCTGTACGGTATAAGATTACGATATTTACACCAAAGTAAGTACAGGCCCACTATAGTAAATACCTAGTATATTTTTGTTTTCAGGACATTTCTTGTATTTTAAAAAAAATATTTATTTATTAATATTCCTGAATACCCTATATATTATTTTTTCAATTAATGGAAAATTAAAAAACGGACATTTTTTGTATTTAGAGTATTTCAAAGGATATTCGCGGTTTTATATTTCACATGGCATTTTCCACAGTAAATTTTTATCAAAGCCACCCAATGATTTTTCTCTCGTATTTTTCCGTTCAAAGAGCCATATGAAATAATACTGCGTGTATCCGCTAAACCATTAAAAATTTTCAAATACTTTAAATACAAAAAATGTTTATTTTATAACTCTCCATCTAATAAAAAAATAATATAAACGGTGTACCATTTAAAAAAACGAAAAAAAAAATTTATTTTTTAGAAAATTTTGCGTAGAATTTTTAACATCCTGTATTATTTAAGAATACGATATTTATAGCAAAGTGTGTATAGACTATCTAAAGTAAATACCTAATATAGTTTTGATTTCAGAACAGTACTTGTATTTTTAATAATTTTTCAGTGATCTGAAATAAGGCAGCCAATTATTGAAAATTAAGCTTATTATTGAAAAAAAAACATATATTACTTCAGTCAATACCACACCTTTATTTTTTGTTTAGAAGCTTTAAAAATTATCAAAAAATAGATTATTTTAGTAATAAAGAAGAAAAAAATAAGATTATTAAATGTTAACATAATATTTCTTGACAAAATGGTGAAGGTGAATTAATTAAAGTTTTAAAATTTGTAAAAAATACAGAGTTTACTTAATTCAAAATTCAAAATCTTTGCAGCAAACTTGTTGCAATTTACGTAGCCCAAAATCGTTCTTTATTTGATAAATTAGTTCTAAATTCAAGAAAATCAAGAAAAAATTCAAGTAAATCGAATTTATTTTTTATTCGATACAAATTTCCCAGCTCTACTTTAGACAAGGACAAAACAACATGTTGACATTTTTATTTTGAGGTTAAAAGTTGCAATTTTTTGTCGGGATAATTTGAAAATATAAAATACCTACAATGGTAAAATTTAAATATGTTTTAATAAGTTTAGTATTATATGGAATTAAATATATTTTCTAGGATGTGTTATCCCGTCCAGCTGACGAATTTGAAAACGATCAAAGCGTAGAAGCATTATGGGCAATGAAGGCATACGAACATGCAGAGATTTACTTTAATGTGCGTAAAAATAGTTAATTTTTACTATCCAGTTCTTTGTATTGGCGACATTTTTGTCTATATACTTTCTTTTTTAGATTCTGTGCTCAGTAGATCCAAAAATTCTACGTTTGACTCCTCAAGATGATCTGATTTATAAATTGTTTCGGGAAGAGTTTCCTGACTTGAAAATTGATATTATTATTGAGAGTGAGTTAAAAAGCACAAAGGAGAAGGCGAAATGGAGACCATTTTGCGAAAGATTTAAGAATATTGTAGAAGGTAAGTGTTAAAAATAAATATTATTTTACTATTGTACACAACTTTTATGGCTTGTTATAGCACTATAATTGTGTAGTTAGTTAAAGATATATTATTTTTTAGATTATAATTATGGAACTTTGCTAAGATCTGATGCTTCCAGTGACTACAGTGAAGAGAATACTATGCTCGTTACAAAAATTCAGTTTTTTGCTGTGGAAATAGCGAGAAACAGGGAAGGTATTAATGACTGTTTGAGGGTCAAGTTTATGCCAGAACCTATCAAGGACCCTAAAGCTGAAGATAGTTAAGAATTTTTTTAATTCGTTTATAAAACTCACTTTAGTTCTAAGGGTTATTTAATAAAAAAATTATGAAATAAGTATTAATAAAATGAGCATTTAATTTTATTATTTTTTTCTTTTCTAGAATTTCCTGTAGTTTTCGATCAATTTTTGATATAAAAGAGGTTGTAGAATTGTTAAAAAGTTTATTTAAATTAGTATTGAATGTTATTCTTTAAAGCCTTGTCTACTATGTCTACACGTAATGTTTTACCTGTTCAGGCAAAATGTATCAAGTAAGACATCGTAGAGCCGCGTGAGCACCAAGCTTATTGCAAAAAAATGTTTACAAAGATAATATACCGTATGATCGAATAAAAACGGCGTCAGCGATGGCTATGAAGATCGCTGTCATTTTATATGTAAATTTATATGGGAAATGTCATCGATCGTCATTTCCAAGCCAACTGGACGCCGTTTTTTTGATCATAGGCCTTTTAGACTCCATAATCATAGGGTACATCTTCTTTAGATGGGACTCAATATATTTTTAGAGTAATTTTTTTTTAAACGGAATTCATATTTTTCCATCAAGTAAAATTTGTTATAAAACACCATAAATTATCTATGGCGACATTTAGATTAAACCATTTAAAGCCTTTTTGATATTAAAAAAACAGCAACATGTCAATAACACTTTTAAATAGGACGTTTGTTATAAAAGTATCCTTAAAAAACACTTTAATAATAACACATTAATAAAAAGAAAATAAGGTCCAAACACAGTGTATGAAGTTTTTGTCTTATTTATTAAATAGAAAATGAACTATAATACACTTAAGATGTCTCAACTGCCGCTGCAGCTGATTCTTCGGTGTATTTGCCCTTGTCCTTGCCCAATGCAGCCAATCGTCCCTTTGCTCTGCGATCAATGATTTTCTTTCTGTCTTTGTCCATTTTAAGCTTTACAATTACAGCCTGCAAGAAAAATGTATATCATATTAACAATAATACATCAAATTATAATCCTGTACTTACTTTGGAAGGGTGAATGCCTACATATACACTAGCACCGTTGGCTTTTTCTCTTTGTATTCTTTCAATGTAGATAACGAATTTTTTCCTGTAAACTTGAACAACTTTACCAACCTGTTGGCCTTTGTAGTGTCCTCGTACAACCTAAAAATTAATATTTCTATTATTAACTCATTTAACACAGTTTTCTTTAAATATTATATAAAACTAGATAAAATCAGTGCCAGAGTTTCACCAAAATGTAAGCCAGACTAAGCTAAGTGCCTGCATTCTAAAGAAAACCTTTAGAACCGGAACTCTGCTCTGTCTTAAATCTTACAGTCTACGAATGGTTTGGTTCATCATGAAAACAACATTAACTAACTAAATTAACAGTATTATCGTACTTTTAATGACATTTAACTTACTTGAACTTCATCGTCTTTACGAATGGGCATGGAACGAACATTGTATTTCTGTCTCAATTCCTTTGAAAGGGGTGCAGACATAAGCCTCCTCTTAATGTGGGAAGGTGCGGAGAAATGCCTTTTCCTGTTTTTACTCCTCGAAGCGGTGACCAGTTTGTTGAACTTCATTTTGAGTGCTGTTTCTCGCCCCTAAAAATAAAATGACATGGTGTGTTCAGGCTAAGTCCAATGTTTACCTTACTTTTTGGTTTATTAGAAAATAGTATACAGAAAAATATTTCTGCAAACTCGTAGAGATGAATGTATTGCATGATTTAAAAGTAATTATAAAGCACTTTGTGTGTGAAAATAATAGATGAATTTAGATTTTTAGGAAACTGAAAAATGAACCTACCGATCACAGCAAATCAAACTTGTCAAAAAGACAGGGACGCGCGCAAGTGTCATTAAAATTTCAAAAAAATTCGTGTATAAATAGTTGCATATGCTACAGAAAAATCAGAGATATAGAGGAAATTTAAACAAATCGATAAATATTGATAAAAATAAATGATTATTCCCTTAAACTAAGCTGTAAGACTAAATCCTGACTAAACCTTTTAGAGATGTTTACCTCTCTAGACGATTTATATTATTTACCTCTCTAGACGATTATAGCAGCTCTTATTTATTAAAGCATACTTATTTCTTATTTAACAATTTTTACTCATTATAATTATTATAAATTTAATGAATTATTATATTTAGAAACTTAGAAGAACCTTAAATTATTTTTTTTGTTTAAATCTTCTAAAAAAACACAAATTTTGATGATATATTCAAACAATTTACAGCTCTAAGAATAATATTTAACTTTTATAATAAATAAGGTTTTTAATCCCCATCTCATCCTAAATTTTTAAGTAAATTTTAAGAAAAAACTTCCTATTTTTCGGTATTTCTTGCTGTAATGAAGAGCACAATAAATAAAAATATTTAAAAAATACTTTGACAGGTATTTGTTGGTTTTGTTTGCCCTATATCTCTGCCCTATACCGGAGATAAGCGTATAAAAAGTTGCATACCCTCCTTGGCATACCCTAGCATTATATGAAAAACTTTAATTTTTAAAATGTAAATTTTAAAAAATGTTTATAAAGTTGGTTTAAAGTAAAAAGGTATAATATAAATGCAATAATTTTCTTCTCGTAAATATATTAGAAAAAATAATAAACTAAGTATACAATAAAATAACTATACATGTATTTTTTGTTTATATGAATCAGTTGTACCATCTAATTGTTAATTATACTTTAAAATTGATGCATGATTTTTTAAAAATTAGATTTTTGAACATGAGAACGTTTTTAAACTGCCAGAGTATAAAACAAATGCAATACAACAATATTTTTTCAAACATAAAATATTTAGTGATTAAAATCAGTTTAATTATCATTTTTATTGCGAATAAAAACACCAATTTCATTTGAAAAATGTGGGGAATCTTCTAAAAAGATTATCATATTAGCAAGATATTAGTCTCTATAGCCAGTTTTTGTTGATATTTTTGTGTTAGCTAACGTTCTGATATAAATAAATTTTGATTAACTACAAATACAGAGATAATTCAAAAACAAGTCAAACAAGTTTTGCAATGGGAAAAGATAAACATTTCATTAAAGGGATCAACTCTGGCACAGTGTATAAAGTACCGTCGTTTGGTTCGGGTCGTTTTTGTTCGCCGGTACCACCTACAGAAGAAATTTGACCATGGCTGCGATAACAAGACAGGTAAATGTTTTAAATATTTACATATTCTTTTTATATTAACAGAATATTAAAATTGATGATAGTACCAAATTTTTTAAAGTTTAGAGGGTGTCCCAAAAATGCACTGCTAAATTCCAGGGGACGATTCCTCATAAAAAATATGATAAAAAGTCTCTATATAAACGTGTATTATATACTATAATTATAATAAACGAGACTTTCCTATATTTCATATCGAAAAAATGTTAATTTAAAGTTATGTTCTATTTAATTTTTTGGTTTTTATAGATACTTCGTAATTTTAGAAAAACTGGCGTAAGGACTGTTTTTCTTTCTTCCAAAAATTGCGAACACGCTGGTGGTCAATTGCCACTGACATTTTTGTCTGAGGATGAGAAAGCGATGCAAGAAACAGGTAAGCAAATACCTATAGAATAATTATTTCTATTTACCGTTATTATTAGGGGATTATTTCTATCTACCTGTATTATACCCTACCCAATGCCGTCTCTAATAGAACAGCCTTGGGGCGAGATTTATGACGTCACGCTAGTTAGATACTACGGATTAACAAATATGTAGTAGAATACATCGAAAACATAATTATTCCTCAAATTTTTTATTTGTATTTTAAAAATGATATAGTTTACAGGAAATATACATAATATACAGTTAATAACTACTAATAGTGTCGAATATAATCCAAAAAATTACATATAAAATATTCACACCACATAATGTTTACTGCAATTAATAAACTAATATAAACTTATCAAAAGATGACCACATATTTTTTAGAATTATTATTCTTAACACTAAAACTACCTACATTGACTATGGAGTATGCAGTAAACATTATGTGGTGCGTGGTGTGAATATTTTATATGTAATTTTTTGGATTATATTCGACACTATTTTTTTCATATGACACTGATGAAGGCTCTAATGTTAGCCAAAACGTTTTTTTTTAAACCAAATAAAAATAATGAAAAACCAAATGAAAACTTAATCAGCGTTTTTCCCGAACCTAAATCCCAAGAAAATAAAAAAAATTAGAATATTTAGAAACAAGGTTCAAGAATATAAAATTTTCCAAGATTGTAAAATTCTAGTTAATTATTTTATGTGTACAATTATTTAGGGAATGTCATCGATGTTCATTTCCAAGCCAACTAGACGCCAATTTTTTTCGATGATACGGTATAATTCTTACATAAAATGTAAATAACATTCGACCAATTAAAACGAAGAAATATGAATTTCTTAGTATTTTTAGTAATATCTTTATTCTTAAAACTTAATTTTGTATTGCAAATATACCAATTTTATTGTTATTGTATTCAGCCATCACTTAAATATTTGATATTATAAATAATCAACACTATTCAGTAAAAATTACTGAACAAATATATGTTATGCTTTTTTACATACATTATATTATCAAACAAAAACACATTCTTCTTTTAAACCTTATCATTCTTGTCTTTACAAAAAATCTTTTTTAATTTTGAACTCAAAATAATAATATTTTTCATGATCTTTAATACACATATTCTTTATTTAAGATCTCCCTAGATCATAATACCTACTTACGTGTTTATCTTACGTGTTTGAATCTATCGAAGCTGAACCAACAACACTTGGAGTGGAGATTCCACAATATGAATAAAATAAACATAATTGTCCAGTTTTCTTTAATACCATCCTGGAAGAATATTATTTTTAAATTTATTAAAGATATTTTCAATAGAATTGTCTTGATTTATAACTCGTACCCACTTTTCTTGCTCTTCCGGATACTTTAAGCTGCCTAGTATAACTATCCTTTCCACCAGGAACACAACAAAGATGAGGCATAGCACCAAAAACACACTCCACTTAAGCTTTATTGATGAATTGTTAGAGTCTTAAAAAACACACACAAAAATCACGATAAATAAAAAATTTATGGGCACTTTTAGGTTAAAGCACTTCACTAACAAAACGTGTAATATTTTTTTTATGAGAAACAGAGTGACCATCATAGTAACCATATATCTGGTAGTACTTTATGTCACTTAAACACCAAAATAATTAGTTTTTTGCACTACAATAACAAATAATACCAAAAATCAACCGACAAAATATGAATACAGAATCTAACCCAATATCTAAGTATGTACAGCTGATGAAGTAAACAAAAGTCCGCCCGTGGGCTGATCTTTTATAGAGGGCATTGCCCTACCTGTACATACAATATGGTGGGTATTATTATTGCTCAGTACACTGCAAGTTTCGTTTTTGTGCTCAAGTCATATGATTGTAGAAAACCCTGTCTTTTAATTTCCAGGATGGTCTTGAGGCGCTGCCTCAAGTCCATCCTGGAAATCGATATTGGCCTTTTCTGAAATCAAACTGCCGAGGTAATTGAATTCCGCTACATATTCCAATAGTTCTTCTCCGATTTTTATAGGATTGTTGTGATCTTCCGGGAGAGTGCACATGCTTTTAGTTTTATAGATGTTCAGCTTAAGGCCCAAAGCCTCGTATGCCCAGGTATATGTGTTCAACATTTCTTGTAATTGTTATAATGTTTTAGCAAATAGAACGCAGTCATCAGCGTATTGAAGTTCTGTGATGAATTTTGTACGTGTTTTTGCCCTGAGTCTTTTTATGTTGAACAGACCGCCATCGTATCTGTATCTAATGTGTATTCCTCTTTCCTGCAGTTTGCTGTCCACTATAATAGAGAATAACACACAACACACCCATCAGTCGCGAGGTTTAAGACAGGTTTAGGCTTATTTTAGTCTCAGTCAGGCGGATCGGTGTCGATCGATAGATTGTCATTTTATGTTAAAACATTTTAGTCCGAACTGTTCTGTATCTGCTGCTGTGCATATTTGATAGTAAATAAAACATTTTGTTTCTCTTCAAAACATAATGTTTTTATAAAAGTCAAGTTTGTGAGTAAATATATTTTGCTCTTTCTATGTGGGTCCAGCCTTAAACTAAAAAATTATACATGCCTATGCAAATAGCTAAAAATATTTTTAAATATTCCAAATTTTTAATTAATGGTAGTCTTTTTGACTAGTTAAGTTCAAGGTCTCAATTGATCATTTTCTGTCCATAGAATTACAAAAATATGTGAAAATTTTCAAAAATCAATTTAATTTTTTTTAAATTAGGCAATGTCGAAATAAAGTTATGTACTAAAGCCAAAAATTAATCTTTTTTTAATGTAATGTTGTAATTTTCTAAACGGTTATTTATACTATCGTCTTAAACATAATTACGAAATTTTAAAAGCATGTAAATTATTTCATTTTCATTGCAAAATTCATGACGGCGAAAGGTTATATTTAATAATGTACAGGGTGTCCCATTTTTGTGTGTTTTATGAGGTTTACATCACTGTGTTACTTTTTTAAGAAACTGAAAAGATGCTACACACAGATTTGTCCTAGCCCTCTTGTTTTCTGATATACAGGGTAAATTATCTCGGTTATCTTATAACTTATCGAAAAGACGAAAACTGGGTTTAGTAGAGTTTTTCGCGTAGAATCCAGTGGCGTAACTTGTTTTTTGTTGGGAGCTGCCATTCCCGAAATATGAGTCAAACCTGTCAAACTTATGTTTTTTTAATGGGACGCCCTATACACTGCTGGCAAAGGAATATTAGCAATAGGAGGTTTTCAATGCGATAAAAAAAGATGGTAAGGCTGCAAAATACACTGCAGTGCAACAGAGACGGATAAAGTGTCTTTTCCCTACCATTGTATAGGGGAAGTGATCATAGAAGTGATACGACGAGAGAGCCCCTGCGAGAGGGGGCGCCGGGCGGGTCTTTAAGACGCTTGTGTGGGGCTACCGCCTACTAATAGAACAGAATCGAAAAATAGAAACAGGACGGACAGTGTTGCCATTCAATTAAATCGAAATTATGTTGGCTTGTCAAAATCCTAAATCTTCTAATCCCATTATCTTGCCTACTTAATGAAATATTAAATAAAGTACGAAACAATTTTAAGAATGTTTTCTCTAGGCACATAACTTCTTTCTAAAACGAAAAGTAACATGCAAAACTTTGAAATCATTTCTAAAATAGCAAGTGCAATTCTATGAAATGGCAATACTGTACGATCTTCCTAGCAGTCGCCCCGACACAGTCGGTCGGCGGCGGCGCTTGACAAAGCCGCGGCTGTGACAAAGGAATTAGGCCGAAAAAACTTTATAAGGAGTAGCCGAACAGGGTTGCCGGGTTTGTTAGATTATAATTCCATACGAGAACAAAATTCTCGGTAGATCTTCAACAAAAAATTAAAAGTACAGAAACGAAATAAAATATAATATTTAAGTCCAAAATTAGCATTCCTATGTGTCGTAATAATAGATCACTCAAATAAAATACAAATATAATAAATATAACAAGAATTAGAAATAGCTAGGTATATTATTTGATATTAAAAAAATATTGAATTAAATAATATTAATATATTAATAAAAACATATAAAACTATAACAAGTAGGGATAGCAGTCACAAATTAGTGTAGCAGTCACTTTTTACCTTTGTACAAATTTTGATCAGTGATATCTAAAATTAATTTCATTTCAATGGGAAAGCTGTAGCAACTCTCAACTCTTTTTTTCATATTAATATATTTTTTGACGGGAAAATCACTAAAATATTTGTCCGAATTTAGGTTGTTTCTTAACTTAAATTCTGTTTTTTGTTTACATTTTTTGGGGGAAAATATGGGTTCAACTTTAGTAGATGAATGAAATAAAATATTTTCAAAAGATATCAACTTCTTCGGGCATGTCGCCAATACCGCGCCTAATAAGGAGTAATAAGGACTTTTAGGAATATCTCTGTAACTCTGCAACTAGACAGAACGATGACCTGTATGTATGTTATTACTAAATAAAATTTAATGAAACAATAATAAAGTCAGATTATACAGATTCCAACGCGGCAGTCGCTTAATTTTTAGTCAAATAAGTCAGCTTTTTAAAAGTGCTTCTATTGTAAAAACTAAAGACGCAGTTGAATATATCGTTGGATTTTTCTTTAAATCGGTAGATCGGTAGCTTACAGACGAAACCGGTAGACCTGGCAACTCTGTGATGAACTGACGGGAGTCGGAATAGCGTGGTGCGGAGGCGCGGGAAGGGAAATAAAATAATGGCGATAAATAAAGGGCAGGGAGATGGGTATCATGAGTGGATGGGAGGTGGCGGAATTTCCAAAATTTGTTATCTTATTGGAGTTTGTCTAAGTAGACAGTCGTAGTGGAAGTGGAAACGGGGAAGTTGTTGTCCATCTCTGTTTAAGCATAGACTTTTTATAGGCGTTTCATTCCAATGCATGTAATTCCTATGCCTAGAGATCCATTGCCGGGCCTGTATAATATCTTGCCTTGTTATGGAGCTGTCCAAAAATATAATATAATCTATACTTATTTTCATTAATAAGATAAAAAATGCATTTTTATATTGCAAAAAGATATATCTGTATCACCTAACAAATAAAATCCTATATTTTCGATAACAACATATAAATGGAGTTTCTTTTTTAGTTTCCAGGTTAGCGAAAGAACAAATTCTGCCACACGTCCGTGATATGGAGAGAGACAAAAAATTTAAAGATTCAGTAGTGCAACTATGCTTTGAAAACGGGGTAAGAACATCTCTTTTTTTGAAACTCATTCATTTACATCAATATTTGAAATTAAAATTTTACAAATTTTAAATTAACTAACTTTGACTTTATTTTTAATTGTTGATTTTTAACGCTCAAATGTATTGAGACACCCGGTATATATTTTATATTATGGAATAAATATATTTATATAATTTTTATTTTCATGGTTTAGTTATCAACTAAAAATACTTTTTCCATTGATACTTCGCTTTTAAATACATAATTATAGTTTATTATTATGAAAATTGCATGTTCGTATATCACGCACATTTTTCAAGGCGACTTCAATAATGAAAAACACGGGGATATGAAATTTTAGCAAAATTTTGGTAATATCCGTAACAAAGTTACATTATATTATTAATGCAGTAATTATAATTACTTTTATAATTAGAATCAATGTGGTTTCGCAAAATTTTGTATTTTATACCGGGCGTTTTTCAATAATGGCTCTCCCCCATAACTTTTTTATATTTTGATTATATGATTGACTGCCGTGTTCAATGAGGAAAATGCATGTTTTTAAATAATGGTTTTAAAAAATAGTTCATATAATTACAAATTGAACAAAAAAAAATCGTTGATATCGGTTAAGAAATGCCTCTAATATAAAATAATTAAATATTGTTAATTTAAATGGCCGGGTAAACGCTCTCTAGCCATCTTATCTGATAGTCAAGCAGTGTTAAAGGCGATCAACTCAGTATCAATCAATTCGAAATTGGTCAAAGAATGCATAGAGAAGCTGAATAAATTAGGCAAAGAAAACAAAGTCCTCCTACACTGGGTGCCTGCTCACCAAGGGATAGAAGGCAATGAAAAAGCAAATAATCTAGCTAGGAAAGGAGCGAACACTCCACTAACTGGACCAGAACCGTTCTGCTTTACAAGTGGTAACCAACTCAAGGCAGAACTCAAGAACTTGGAACTTATGGTCTAAGACACTCGAAGAAGTTTCTGTAGGCTTATGATCAAGGAAAATCACAGATCTTCCTGGGTCTGAGTAAGAACAATCTTCGGATTGTCACGGGGTTTTTAACAGGACACTGTCTCCTCAATGAACACCTCAGTAGATTGAAACTAAGAAGAAACGGCGAATGCAGATTCTGTGGGGAAGATGGGGAAACACCAGTACACCTCATCACTGAGAGTGCCGAGACGACAACCATTCGTGCCATGAATTTTGGTACGACTGATATTGGAGATGGAGAACTACCCTCTATAAAACCGTCCCAGATACTGGCTTTTGTCAAAGCCCTGGGACTGTATGATGAGTTATGATTCAAGAAAGGGGGACACAATGGATCTGTAAGGTCGAAGTGATTAACCCCCCTCCCACTCATTCTAAATTCTAAAATTCTAAACGCTCTCTACCGCGCCTTGCCGCTGTGACGTCACCCGCCGTTCTTCTGGTTGAGTGGAGCCAGACGCGTGTTTATTTTACACAGTTTGCTTTTAAACGCTGTTGAATCCGAGTCAAAATTTTAGTATTTGTGTTAATTAACACATAATTAGTAATTAGTGATATTTATAAATAGTAATGGATCAGCGAAAACAGAAAAAAATGGTCCAAGGCCTTGAGAAGAGATGAAAAGGAAAACGTTAAATTATCCTCTATTTTTACGATTTATTGTTTTGAAGATCATTTTGATGTAAGTTCATATATTTATGCAAATATATTGTCTTACATAGGTATATGAAATTTGAACGTACAGGGTTATTCATTATATTTTGACACCCACATACAGCCTTAACTGCAAGTTTTAGAAGAAAACATTAAATAAAAAAAGTTGCATGGTTTTTCATATACTCTTTTTAAAATTAATTCTAGTTATACAGGGTGTCTCAAAAAGGTGGTCCAGAAAATTGTAGGTATTTTTCGCTTTACAACTGTCAATATTTCGTAAACATTTGAAGATAGGTATAGGATATTATACATGAAATATATCTAGAATATCTAGAAATTTCCGAAGAATCCAAAATATATAGGGTGTTTCGCTTAAAAAGTAACTTAATTTTGGCGTTTGCTTATGGGACACCTTGTATAATATTTTCATTACTGATAAACAATTTATTTCCTATAATTTCGTAAAAAAACAATCTTTAAAAATAACAAGGGTAAGGGGTGTCAATATATAAAAAAATCTTTCTTTTTCACGCTATGCTCTGGAGTTATTTTTTCACGTACTAAACAAATATTTTTGTCTCTTTTCACTTCTACATAACCTACAACATTATCTCCGTACGTCTCCCTACCTGAATCTGCCAATACTTAAAAAATTCTCAGAACACACAACACATACAAATAATAACTGCACAAAAAAGCATAAAAAGCTCCTCCAATCAACGCTAAAAGCAACAAAAATGTCTTAGTACGCCACCTAAATACGTACATAAACGGAACACGTCTGGCTGCTGCTGGCCATCGCGTGTCGACGAGAACGGCGGGTGACGTCAGACCAATAGAATATCGTTTCAATTCGCGAGGCGTCGTTTGCGTTATCCATAGTATTTTAATGGCTCGTTTTATAATATTGTGGTACTGCTTTCAAGAAAAAAGTTTTTTTTTTGCATTTACACATATTTATTGTAATAAATTGAACAGTTTCTGGCGAAAAATAAAATATATGCATCTTCCTCATTAGTCACGTCATGTTTCATCAAAAATAAAGACAACTTTTGAATTTAAAATAGTACTCTCGGTATTTTTTTACTTTATTTGGTGATAGAAAATAATATGCTGAATAAAATTACTTATCATATATGACAAATTTTGACATTTTCTGTTAAAAAAGCCTTGGAAGAATAGATTTGATCGTCTAATGTTTTTCCTATCTTTTCCTGGTGGGTTAAGAATCAACCAAATCCTATTTTAAATCATAACTGAATTTTTCAAATGGAACAATGAAGCATTTTTTACGAATAATTTGGTATCACTCATTTGGTATTTTGAGTCAAATTGTCATTATGAACCGCATGTTACAATTTCAAATAAACCATATGCGAAAATGTCAAAACTGGAGATATAATGTCATTCTATTAAGAGTATTATTTTTTATCGAATAAAGTAGAAATATACAGAGGGTGCCGTTTAAAAATCAAAAGTTATTCATTTCCGGTGAAACAGGAAGTGACCGAAAACAACTGAATACGTCAATCAATCCTAATTTATTTCATATACTAAAATACCAAATCTCGTTTTTTTATCTGATTATCTGAAAAAATAAAAAAGTTATGGGGTGAACCACTTTTGAAAAACACCCGATATATGAGCAGTATATATAGATGTAATTTGGGGAGAAAACATAGCTATAGTATCATTCACTTCAAGTAAATGCTCTTCTGTACACTTATTTCACCATCTATTATACCTTTTTAGTCCATATCGCAAAATAGTATAGATATTATAGATCGATAATAATAATTGGATGAATCAATATATCAAAAATGTATGAAACTCTTTAAGAATATCTCTATTTATATTTGACTATGCCTATTTACTACACTTCTTTATTTTTTTATTTTCAGCTTATGGGTATTCAAACTCCTTCCGAGTATGATGGATCAGAATGTAACTTTTTGACGGCTGTACTTATAGTAGAAGAATTGTCCAAAGTAGACCCGTCCATAGCTGCATTCGTTGACATTCACAATACACTAGTTAATAGTGTATTTCTAAGGTATGGCACCAAAGAACAAAAGGAGAAGTACCTGCCCCGTCTAGCAACAGATACGGTAAGAAAGAAATACGGTTTATTTAGTTAGTATTATCACAGATTAGGTATCCTATAAGTATACAGATAAAAATCTTATCCCTAATTCGTGGTACGAAAATTGTTTTTTATGACGATGTGCAAACGAGTCAAATTTCCTGTGCGCAAAAATAAACTCGCGTAAAATAACAATAAACAGCGTAATAGAGAGATATCGCTAAACCGAATAGCGTGCATGGACGTTAATAAGGCCAGGTGTTATTTCCTTTACGTGAGGTGGTATTAACTCTCTTCATTTATAGTTATCGGATCAGAAAGAATTCTGATCGCGTCGCGTCCGCTATTTTAAACTTAACTTAACTTTGAATTTAAAACTTTGAAATTGTTTTTTGTTTACTAGGTATTTTAAAACTAAAAGGGCTAAAGTGCTTTATTTCCAGTGCTTTATTGTTCAACGTCTGCCAGTGGGTTTAGGGCAACAAGCAACAAATTCTCTTAGAAGGGCTAAATCGTCATCTGATGTAAACCTAAGACTCTTTATAGGTTCTTTAGTATTGGAAGAGGTGGAATCCATATTTTGGGCCATATTTATTTAATTAAAACTAATCCCAGCTACTTAAATATCAAATTACCTAATAAAACTAAAGCAATAATTCAAAACAATTCAAACATAAACATAACCTAAAATAAAAGATCTCGCCGGCCGGTTGTCAAATACCCGCACATGCCCATTTAAGCGATTTTTAAACGTTATCAGAGGTTATTTAGAAAGAGCGCTTGGTGTAATTGATCCGCAAATTACGTCAGGCGGTAAGCGGTAACGTTATTAGCGGGTGTTGCGTTAAAAATTGACTCGCGCGCAAGAACGGTAAAATAATAGGATTGCTCATCCTCATAAGACGTACGTTCGCCTCTTCCCGCGCTTCAGCTGACAGTTGTGATGTCATTGTAGTCCTTGTCAAAGCCTTCGTGGCCTTGTCATGATAGTGTGTATTATTAGTTGTCTATGGTAAACTTATAAAAATAACAGCTGAGAAATTTTGAGTTAATTATTTTGTTAATTTTAAATGTGAAAAAGGTGTCTTTAAAGTTTTTAGAGCTATAGAGTGTATAAATACGTTCATTTTTGTGTTGTGGATTGTGACAAAGTGCATACTTTGAAGTGCCCACGATTTTGTTTACTAATTATTTTAAAGCAAAATATGGAAGTAATTCTGAAAAGAATGCTTGCAAAAGGTGATGCTGGGAACTGCTGTTCTTAAAAATGCATTATCCGAGTATTTAATACGATTTATACAGTTAATTTTCTATACTGCATACATATAAGGTGTTTAAATAAATAAACTAAATAATGAATGTTTTGCATTCGGCAACCAATAATGCACGTGTGTATATTATTGGTTGCCGGATAAGGACTAATAATCATGACAAGGACTACAATTACGTCACAAAGCGAGTAGTTTTCGCATGCACCTGGCGGACACTTTTGGCTGAATGAGCAGTCCTATTAGGTTAACTGTTCTTGACTCGCGCGTATCGTAACCATGATAAGGTACGCTTAAATACTGGATGACGCTATTCGGTTTTCCGATATCTCTCTAATAACTGTACCGGTCAGGCGCTGTGCACAATTTTAGAGGCCATAAGTGGGCGTGCTATGTGCGCAAACTAGTCACCTAACTAGTGCCCGATTCCGAAAATTGGAACCACGAAAAACAATAAAGAAAAAACAAAGATTATAATCTGTATAATCTGTGGTATTATAGTAGGGTAGTTCAAGATACCTAAATGGGAATTTACTATTGGATTGTGGAAAATTAGATGCACACTTTATTGATGAATTTATTCCCGTGATTCTTGAGTGAAAAAAATGAACCACTTTCGATTATTTTTCTTATGTATTCCTTTATATTAGGTAGGTAGTTTCGCTCTGTCAGAACCATCATCAGGAACCGATGCCTTCGCATTAAAAACCACAGCAAAACGGGTAGGGGACGACTATGTCATAAATGGGTCGAAGATGTGGATTTCAAATTCAGATTTCTCAGGAGTATTTTTAATTATGGCCAATGCCGATACCTCAAAAGTAAGTAGTATAAATAGTAGTAAGTATAGTATAGATATTAAAATATAATCAGGATTTTTACTTTCAGTAAACTATTTGATTTTATATGTATACCGGGTGCGTCTCAAAAGTGGCTCACCCCCTATAACTTTTTTATTTTTTCAGATAAAAAAACGAGATTTGGTATGTTCGTATATGACATAAATTAAGATTGATTGACGTATTCAATTGTTTTCGGTCAATTCCTGTTTCACCGGAAATGACTACAACTTTTGATTTTTAAATGGCACCCCCGGTATTTTTTTACTTTATTCGATTTTGACATTTTCGCTTAATAAAAAATCGTGTTTTAAATTTCAATCTAGAGTGCCATGGCTATGTTAAAAACACTAATTCTTAATCAAGGAGACTTGGAAAAATAAATTGGATCGTTTAATGTTTTTAGTCTCTTGTCCTGGACAGAAAATTATCAAATCGTATTTTTAAAAAATGTCTATTCCTATGTGGGGGATCATCTCTCCAAAAAAATCCTTTATGGGTATTCCGCCACTGCACTGCAAGAAACACCTACAAAATAAAATAGTTATTTTTTGTAAACACTTCTGCGTTTAACCTTTCGTATTTTTAATCATACCTCAATTTTTTCAAATGGAACGGGGATGGCTCATTAGCATATTTGGAAAAGGCATTTTTTCACTAATAATTTGATACCACACACTTGGTATTTCGAGTCAAATTTTCGTTACGAACCGCAAGTTATAATTTCAAATAAACCATATGTGAAAATGTCAAAAGTTGACATATGATATGTCATTCTATTCAGAGTGTTATGTTCTATCGAATATAGTAAAAAAATACCGAAGGTGCGGTTTAAAAATCAAAACTTGTTGTCATTTCCGGTGAAACAGGAAGTGACCGAAAACAATTGAATACGTCAATACATCCTAATTTATGTCATATACTAACATACCAAATATCGTTTTTTTAACTGAAAAAATAAAAAAGTTATAGGGGTGAGCCACTTTTGAGATGCACCCGGTATACTTGCTGACTTGTACTTTTTTAATCTATCTATAATTAGTGGTAATTTTGACAAGTATTATGTCAATTTTTAGTAAATAACGTCTAGAGATAGTCCTCGTCAAAATTATCATCGATTCTCATTCCCTAGCCGCGTCTATGATGCCGATTTTTTTTGGGAATATTCGGTGGTATAAAAGTTTGAAACCCCCAAATCTAATCATAATAACACACTTCGATTAAGCAAGATTCTTTGTTCTATATTTTTAAATTATCTAAACAAATAAGTTCATTTAGTAAGTCAAGTTCAACCAAAACCGCATGTAATTATTTGTTATCTCCAGATCTATGTGAAACAGAACGCTGTAAATATGTACCTATTATGAAATAAATGTTTATCATTATACACTGTATATACTGAAGCAACGACAAGGATGCGATAAGAGCACCCAATCAACAACAGAACTGTTGTCAGTGAAATAATACTGTTACAATTAGGCGCGTAATGATATGATACGAGGATTTACTAATTCTATTTATTCTCGCAATAATTGTAAACCAAAGTCCGCAGCCTCGTTCTAGCAAAGTGATAAAAAGTTTAACAACACTGGCAAGATAAATATAGCGGCTTTTGTGTTAATGGTTACAAAAGTATGAGATTTTCATATTAACATCATTTTCAGCTTATTCAACTATTTCCAAATATAGTGTAGTCTCCCTCACATATTTAGATAAGCCCTTTTTAGTTGGGCCCTAGTTAAATAGTGGGGCATTAGTGTTTGACCTATAAACAGGGGCGCATATACGGGATGGGTAAAGAGGGTAATTAGTAATTACCCCTCCCAGGAAGTAATTTATAAATAAGATTGATAACTCCAGGCCTTTGAATAAGAAGACTAAGGAAGGAGCATATCAAAAACCTTAGGTACACCGCGATGGGCCTCAAATATGGCCGACTTAAATTCCGGTTTATCAGTGTCGTTCTAATTTTATTTAAAAAATGTAACACTATGATGTAGGGTAGACGTGGGGTAGACTCAATAATTTGTTGTTTTATTTTACGTTGTGAATAAATGTTGGTAGTTATTAAAATTGTTATAAAAATATAAAATTCTAATAAAAATAGATAAGTTATAATAATTATTTATTAACACAAACATCCGATACACTACTGAACCAGGTAAGTCAAATTGACATATCTAAATTCATTCACATCTAATCTTTGACAAGTAGTAAATAAAAGCAAAAATGCAAGAAAAAATATATAATTAGTTAATTTTAAGTGAATTTCATAAATGATCGGTTTACTACACGTATGTATATTATATAGTCACTTACTAGCGAAAAGTTATTCCATTATTTCCCTCGATTTTTGACCGAGATCTACCGCACGCTACACAACCAACTATTTTACAGTCTTTTTCGATAAATCGCGATAGTGTCACTGTTAATTTAAGTTCTGCCACAATTTCCATCTAGATTTACTACCTTTATACAACTATCAGTAGTAGAATAAATAATAAATAACATAAAATAAGCTCCGTAAAGACTGACAAATCCACAAAATTTCAAATCAAATTCAAATGTGTCAAATGAATCGTCAAACAGAACTGTTAAGGATGTGTCAAGGATCCCCACCCTAGAGTGCTTTTATGGTGCTTTTTCCGCCCACCATGCATGAATACATGGATAGCATTATGCTCCTTCCTTAGTCTTTCCTCTCACTGGCGGTCACTGGAGTTGGCCTCTCACTTCACGATCCCAAGCTCCCTTGCTCTTTCAACAGCAAAATTTGGAAGCGAGGTTATAACCCCGATAATTGCTTTGTCAGTAGGAACATCCATGACACCTGCTGCAAAAATGTATATAATGCAATTCCAAAGACACAACACCGACCTATCGGAATCCAAGTCTACTCTACAATCAAAACAACCAAAATACCTTTCCGTAGGAGATTCAACTTTATGAAAGCCAGGTGGCCAGAATACTCCCAAGTGCTGGATGAGGAAATAGCCAATTTGGCCCCAACACCAAGCAACTACCACATCTTTGTTGAGTCCCTGCGAAAGATATCCAGACGATATATTCCTAGGGGCTGCAGACAACATTACATTCCAGGGCTCTCGAATGCCTCAAAGGACACCCTGGAGCAGTACGAACAATTGTTTGCGGAAGATCCATTCAGCGATCAAACCATCACCTGCGAAACAGCTTTAATGACAGCTCTCAGCGAGGCACGTGGGAAGAAATGGATAGAAACCCTGGATAGAATGGACATGTCTCATAGTAGTAAAATAGCTTGGAATCTAATCAAGAAACTGGATGGTGACCCAAAACTAAGCAAGGCCCCTTCCAATGTAACACCCAATCAAGTGGCCAACCAACTCCTTCTAAATGGCAAATTCAACTCGAAACGCCAGAAAACCAAAATCAAACGCCTAATACCAACTGAAAACACCAACTTTCAGAAATCATTTACCATGAAAAAGTTGAACAATGGTATAAATACCATGAAGAATGGAAAAGCCGCTGTGATTGACGATGTATGCGTGGAACAGATCAAAAATTTCGGTCCTGGAACCAAAAAATGGATACTTAAACTTTTCAACGTATGTCGCGAAACCTTTCAAATTCCAAAACTGTGGCGGAAGTCAAAAGTAGTAGCTCTCCTTAAACCCGGAAAAGATCCAGAGTCTCCGAAAAGCTACCGACCCATATCCCTCCTTTGCCATCTGTTTAAGCTCTACGAAAGACTAATCCTCTACAGAATAGAGAAGACCGTCGATTCAAAGCTGATTCCACAACAGGCAGGATTCAGACCTGGAAAGTCCTGCACCAGTCAAATCCTCGATTTGACAGAATATATCGAGGAGGGTTTTGAGAATAAACACATCACAGGGCTGGCCCTAGTCGACCTAAGTTCCGCCTATGACACGGTAAACCACAAGATATTACTGCATAAAGCCAATGAGACCTTGAAAGATTACCACCTAGTCAAGATACTCGAATCCTTGCTCCAAAACAGGCAGTTTTTCGTGACGCTCGAGGGCAAAAAGAGTCGATGGCGAAACCAGAAGAATGGGTTGGCACAAGGGAGCGTGCTGGCACCAATTCTTTTCAACATATATACAAATGACCAACCTATTCCAGATAACACTAGAACCTTTGCATATTCAGATGACCTAGCAATAACAGTTGAAGGCAAAGGTTTCGAAGATATCGAGGAGAAACTAGAAAGTGCCCTAAAAACAATGTCAACCTATTACAAAAAGAATTCTTTAAAACCCAACCCCACCAAAACTAAAGTGAGTGCATTCCACCTTAATTCGAGACAGGCGACCCGCAGACTTAATGTTACATGGGACGGGACACTACTAGAACACACAAATAAGCCTACCTATCTTGGCGTCGTGCTGGACAGAACATTGTCTTACAAATATCACTGCGAAAAACACGCAAAAAGTAGAAGCACAGAAATTCCCTTATAAGGAAGCTGACCAATAGTAAATGGGGAGCCAAACCTACCGTGGTCAACTTCTGCTCAAGCTCTGTGTTTTCAACTGCAGAATATGGCTGCCCAGTGTGGTGTAGATCTGTCCATGCAAAAGGTGAAAATCAGTCTGAATGAAACATGCAGAATAGTGACAGGTTGTATGAAACCCACCCCTTAGAAAACCTTTACAAGGCCGCAGGTTTTACAAGCCCCGATTTACGCAGAAAAGTTCATGAACATACTCGAGAAGTTAAAACAAACCTTTGATGCTCGTCACTCAATTTTTGGCCAAAGAGTGCGGCACAGGTAGATCTTAAATCCAGACGCCGTTTCCTAAGCCACCCCCTGGATGAACCTCCCTCCCACTACCCCCTTAGAGAGGACCCACCAAATGGTGTTTCTAGCGACTGGAAAACCTGGAGAATGCTCAACCGAATCAGAACTGGGGTGGCCAGTAAAATCCAATTTGATCAACTCAATTGGGGTTTGCTGGACAGAAATGACGACAAATGCGAGTGCAGCGCCTTTCAGGACATGGAACATCTTCTTCAATGTCCTGCGTGCCCCCACAGATGTACCCTCGATGACCTATGGCTGGCTAAACGGGAAGCATTGGACGTAGCCCATTACTGGGTTAATAAACTATAATATAATCCGGATACGAAAAAGTAAAGTAAAGTTTTTGGAGTATGGTTTATAATACAAATTATCATTATTTCGGTTAGTTCTATCGATACCTGAAGTTACTCTAGTAAAATTTGAATCCTCCTGAAGGGAAGGAAAAATGAAAAATCCCAAAATTTAATTATTCATTAATTAATAAATATGAACTGACTGTCCGACACAAATTACTTTTGATTGGTATATTCTTTGACTTTTGATTGCTATTAATCTTCTAAGTGTTTGTAGAATCATTAAATATAAGATATATATTATTTTTGTAGGGCTACAAAGGTATAACCTGTTTCATTGTGGAAAGGGACACTCCTGGATTTACGATAAACAAACCGGAGGACAAACTTGGAATTGTAGCTTCGGGCACGTGCATGTTGACATTTGAAGATGTCAAAGTTCCAGCATCTAATGTCGTGGGTCAATTTGGACAGGGGTAAGGAAAATAAACATTGTAGCAATTTAGCAGACATTTTTTAATTGAATAAAAATAATTTATTTCTTACTGAATAAGTTTATATCGTTTTTGTATTTTATATTGTTTATTGTAGCTGCTCTGAAAATTAACCGTTTTATTTTATGTGGTTTCAGTCTCATCTGCTTCTACAATAAATTAATAATATGAATGAAAATCGCTAATTGGTAATACAAGAAAATTAATATTAACATTTAAAAAGGGTAGATACTTATATTGAATTCTGGTTGTCTTGACTTGAGGGTTAATAGTGAGGTATTGAGGGTAATTATATTTATTTTATTTATTTATTCTTTAGTCTTTACAAAAATGACTTGACTTAAGTCAAAGACTATTTAAACCATTTGAAGTTTATGGCGAATTTGACTGAAGACTTAAATCGTTTTGTTTTTAGAATTTATTTTAATTGTAGTTCTGTTCCTTTGACACGTAAATAACTATTTTACTACTTTTTAACATTTGAATTTCTCTTTTTATCTTAGGTATAAAATTGCCATAGATGTATTAAATGAAGGTAGAATTGGTATAGCGGCACAAATGTTAGGTCTAGCTCAAGGATGTTTCGATGCTACCATTCCTTACACGTTAGAAAGACAGCAATTTGGGACACCTATATTCCACTTTCAGGTAAATGATATAAAATAATAATCTGAAAATAGTACAGAGCGTCCCATTTTCGCGTGCTTTACAGTGTTTCTCCGTTTATGAGTGGAGATGCAAATATGCGGTTTCCACATTACTAGATATGCTACTTTTTTATGAAAAAAAGATACTGTACAGGGTGGGCCAAAATTTTTTAACAAATCAAGTTGTAACTTTTTTACTTTGGAAAATGTTGTATTTTATGAAAACATTTCAAAGCACCTTTTTACGTAGAATTTAATGGATTAAGTATAATTTTTTTAAATTAATAATTTAAGAATTATCAACAGAAAAATTGATTTTTTATATGGGACACACTGTATATTTTTAATTTATTGAAAGGGGAATTTAAAATTACCTTTCCAAAAATATATAGCACGCTTGATATTTGGCTCGATTCCTCTTTGAAAGGTAGAGTTTATAAAAATGCGTCCACTTTAAATAAGTAGGCTTTGAACTCTGGCGCCGCGCGCCAGCTGTAATGCAAAAAAATTCTAGCTGTGAGTGTGTAAATTAAAACGAAAATAATATTTGCAATGAGACTTAGTGATTTTCCCACTGCAGGGACCTAGTGATTTTCCCACTACAGGGACCCAGTGATTTTCCTACTGCGGGGACCTTGTGATTTTCCCACTGCAGAGACCTAGTGACTTCCCCATTGGGGACCTGGTGATTACCTCACTGCAGGGACCGACCGGAGTGATTTTCCCACTGCAGGGGTCCTAGTCATTTTCCCCCTGCGGAGCCTCCTCGAGATTTTCCCACTGCAGGGGTCCTTGTGATTTTTTCACTGCAGGGACCTAGTGATTTCCCACAGGGGGGGACCTGGTGATTTTCTCACTGCAGGGACCACAGTGATTTTCCCACTGCAGGGGGACCTAGTGATTTTCCAACTGCAGGGACCTAGTGATTTTTCCCACAACAGGGCCCTAGTGATTTACCTACTGCGGGGACCTTGTGACTTTCCCACTGCAGAGACCTAGTGATTTTCTCACTGCAGGGACATAGTGATTTCCCTACTGGGAGGACATGGTAATTTTCTCTCTGCAGGGACCTAGTGATTTTCCCACTGCGGCTACCTAGTGATTTTCCCACTGCGGGTCCTAGTGATTTCCCACTACAGGAACGTAGTGATTTTCCTACTGCGGGGACCTTGTGATTTTCCCACTGCAGAGGCCTAGTGATTTCCTCACTGGGGGGACCTGGTGATTTTCTCACTGCAGGGTCCTAGTGATTTTCCTACTGCGGGGACCTTGTGATTTTCCCACTGCGGGGTCCTAGTCATTTTCCCACTGCGGGGTCCTAGTCATTTTCCCCCTGCGGGGCCTCGAGATTTTCCCACTGCGGGGTCCTTGTGATTTTTTCACTGCAGGGACCTAGTTATTTGCCCACAGGGGGACCTAGTGATTTCTCACTGCAGGGACCTAGTGACTTTCCCACTGCAGGGACCCAGTGATTTTCCCAACTGCAGGGACCTAGTGATTTTCCCACAACAGGGGCCTCACTAGTGATTTTACCTACTGCAGGGGACCTTGTGAGCTTTTCCCACGTGGGTAGAGACCTAGTGATTTCCCCACTGGGGAGCCTAGTGATTTTCTCACTGCAGGGACCTAGTGATTTCCCTACTGGGAGGACATGGTGATTTTCTCTCTGCAGGGACCTAGTGATTTTCCCACTGCGGGTCCTAGTGATTTCCCACTACAGGAACGTAGTGATTTCCCTACTGCGGGGACCTTGTGATTTTCCCACTGCAGAGGCCTAGTGATTTCCACACTGGGGGACCTGGTGATTTTCTCACTGCAGGGTCCTAGTGATTTTGCCCTACTGCGGGGACCTTGTGATTTTCCCACTGCAGAGACCTCCAGTGATTTCCCTCACTGGGGGACCTGGGTTATTTTACCACTTTGGGACTCGCTAGTGATTTTCCCACTTTGCTGGGGGCCTAGTGATTTTCCCACTGCAGGGATCTAGTGATTTCCCACTGCAGGAACCCAAGTGATATACTACTGCAGGAACCTTGTGATTTACACACTGCAGGGACCTAGTGATTTGCCCACGTCGGGGCTCCTAGTGATCTTCCCACTGCAGGGACCTAGTGATTTTCCCACTGTAGGGGGCCTAGTGATTTTCCCACCGTAGGACTACAAAAAAATTGTTTTAAGTAGCCCAACAAAGTTTTTACGTGTAACAAATAGTTTTATTCGCGTAAAACCAAAAATTAATAACCAATTAAAATACCAATATTTTTGATAAATATTATGGACTGCTTCACAAATACACGTCCCGTCACTACTGTATTTCTAAGCCGTGGGGCAGTCCCTTACCACTTTTCGTCTCGCTAGCTTGTGTATGCATCACAGCTTTGAATTTTTACACTCAGCGTAAAGAAGTTTAATTCACTACCGTAATAAGAAAAATACTATTAACAAATTGTTTTTTAATTTTCTAGGAATGCAACACCAAATTACTACCCACGTGGCCGCCTCAAATTGAAGCGGCACGATTGCTGACAAACATACAACGCTGCCAGATTGCTGGACCAAAGGGAGCGCCCTTCATTAAAGAAGCTGTGTCCATGGCCAAATACATAGCCCCAGCAGCCCAACAAACCACTGTTAAATGTATCGACTGGATGGGAGGGGTGGGATTCACCAAAGATTTCCCCACAAGAGAAATTCTACAGGTAATTTTAATATACCTATTATAAGGGTGGGTCACAATAATCGACTATTTTTTTCACTTTATACCCTGAAAAAAAGGTCAGTGGACACCTCAAAAATTATCTTCAAGTATGAGCTCTTAATTTTAATAGGAAAGTCTTCTGCCTTTCAGTTTCTATTTTTCCTGATATTAGAAGATGAAAATTCATATCTCGGTATCTACTATTTTGAAAAAAATATGTCGTGGTGCGTGAAGTGCAGCGTTACCTCACAAAATGGTGCGTGGAGATGACGGTGTAATTTATTCTGAATAGATTTCATGTAATACTATTAGTTGAAACATTCATCTGTCAGAAATTTTATTCGTCAAATTCATTCGCCGGTAACAGCGTAATAGAATTACTGGAAATCGATTCTTTCTATTTTTTCCTTATTATTAGAAAGAAAAATTCATATCTCGGTATCTACTATTTGGAAAAAATATCTCGTGGTGCGTGAAAGAGAACGATGGAAATATCAGCACAAGGAAACTTGAGGATGAAATAGGAATAGATCACACTACAGCGTTTCGAATTTTGAAACGACATAAATACTATTCCTTCAAATATGAAAAGCACCAAGAGCTACGAGATGGGGACGAAATACGGCGGCAGGCGTTTTGTTTTGATATGATGGAAAGAGCAAACACGGATAAGGAATTTTTAAAAAACATATGTTTCACTGACGAATGCACGTTTACCTTAAATAATGAACCCAATGTTCAAAATTATCGATATTGGAACAAAAAAACCAACACAGGTTTGTCGAAACAAGGACGCAATATCCACAGAAAGTAAATGTTTGGGCAGGGATATTCGGACACAATATTATCGGGCCATTATTTCTTGCGCGAAATTTAAATGCAGAATATTATTTGGAAGTACTCGAAAATCATATTTTACCTGCTTTACATGATGCCGCTAGGGAAAATCAGGCAGTTTGGTACCAAATGGATGGCTGCCCGGCACATAGTACCCTGGCTGTTCGGGAATATTTAGACAATAGTTTTAACGGAAACGTTATTGGCCTAAATCATATAGTAAATTGGCCAGCAAGGTCTCCTGATATTTCGCCAAATGATTTCTTTCTCTGGGGCCATTTAAAAAACAGGATATACAAGGATAAAAAATACCCAAATCTAGACGAGTTAAAAAATGCTATTTCTGCCGAATGCAATAAAATTTCAGTTTACCAACTAGCGAATGTAAGAAGAGAATTTTATGATCGCCTGGGTTATTGTCTAGCAGTCGATGGAGGAATATTTGAACATCTTCTTAAATCCTAAAGTTCTAACAATTTAATAGTACCTAAATTAATAAGTTATTGAATATTGTAATAATACTATAATTAACCTTGTAATTGATTACTTTATTTTACTTTAATTCATATTAATTTGTATTTATAAATACATCTTTAAGATTTCCGATGTAGGAATGAGTTTTCAATAACAAATAAAGCACTAAATAGGTAAATTTCGTAAATGACAACTTCATTTGACAGTTATCTTTTACCTTGACTGGTGCTCATAAGTAAATACAGGGCCATAAGAAAGCAGAAATATTTAAAAAGAAATCGGCGATAACTCGTAAACGAGCTAATCAAAAATATCTAAAGTTATTCTTTTCAATGTGGGTTTTAGTGCTCTTCAATAAACCTAAATAGAATTATTCTCTAAAATAATTAGGGAAGCCAATAATTGACCCCATTAAAATTTACATGGGATTTCCTATGTGCCGCTCGACGATGCAACACCCGGTATATTATTAAAAATATATTTTTTTTCTTTTTAATTACTGTGAAAATATCGTTCACGATGATGAAAAAAATTCTGGTAAAGTTTGAGTTCTTAATATTAGCACAGATATCAGAATATTCGTTTTTCTGGAACCTTTTGTAAAATATCGTTTTTCAATTTCAGGGATGCAAAAAATAGGTAGCATTTACGAAGGAACCAGCAATATACAACTTACAACAATAGCAAAATCAATTGAGAAGCAGTACAAACAATAGTTATAATTTTTAACTTAAATTCTAAATTGAATTTGTATAAAGTTTCATAAATCTGTTTTTTATATACCTGTTTATATACATAACCTGTATTATTTACAATGTTTCAATATATTTTTTTATGAATTAACCTGATAATATGAATGACTTGCTATTTAATAACCCTTTACTAAGTCCAATTTAAAATTAGCTCATAGATAAAATAAATTTTTTAATACACTGAAATATTCAAAATTATGTAGAATATATCAACAGAAAATTTAAATATTCTAAGATATTTATCAGTAGTCTCAAAAAGTTTTGGGTAGGTCTCAAAGTCTCAAGAATATAGCAAAAAGATTATTATAGCAGAAAAATGTTTAAATTTGCTTATAAATAAATTTATAAAACAACTGACTTACTTGTGGTCACTATATTTCTAAAATGAATTATTTACAAGCTTGCAAAACCATTGCAAATCGACTATGATACAGTATGTCTTATTTCTTACATATATTCACTTAGGATCGTGAGGCAATTTGAATCCCACCATTCTTGCTGTCTCATCTACTGTTCTTTCACCTTTACCATGAAATTCTGCCTGGATTTCATGAGATAATCGAGAACTTTTTAGGTAGCATAAGTATGTGTTTGCCATAAATTCCATTTCTTCCCTATTTATTAAAGAAAATATATATTTAGTAAATGTAAACAGCTTAAAAACAAGAATGCTAGACTTTGTGATTAAAATAGTTGTTTTTTTGTAGAGCCATTTTAAAAAACATATTTTATTAATATCTTACTATACATACTTAGCTTTGCACAATTGCTGATCTGTTGTTTTGTATTTCCTGTACTGGGACATGATAAATTGATATGATAAATTGTTCTTCAGGGTTTGATCAGGTACAGCATATCGAAGCTCTCTGATTAGGCCTCTGAGTGTAGTCAAGTTTTTGTTCATTTAGACGAAATGTAAATAACGAAATAACTACGAGGTATAACAATTAATAATACCGTAACTGTAATTTAAATATAATACATACTTTTCCAATTCTAGCCAGTAGTTTTGTTTTTAATGTTTTGGTTCCAAAGTTTGGGGTTAGGTTTAAAAAAAATTGAAGATATTAGATATTACTAGTTGCCTAATAATCTTAAAAAATTTAGTTTAGAGAGTTGCCTATGGTTTACACTAAAAAATCAAATATCTTAATTTTTAAAAATAGGATATAAAATCAAATAACCCTGCATTAACTCGAGGGATTATCTAATTCATAACAATTATTATTTTATTATATCTTCATTATATCTGTTCCAAATACATATATGTTCTAGATTAATTGAAAAAAGGAATAAAAAAATTGAAGGAAATACATTAAATTTGTATTTTTTAGTAGGGCACCCTGTATATATTTATCGCGTTTTTATTTTTAGCTAATGGACCGTGAAGCAAAAGGACTTATAGCCAAACCAAAAACTATGCATCTGGCGAAAAATCAAAATATGATTATTGTTTAGAAAGAATGAAAGATTTTGGAAATATTAAAATAAATATTAATGAATTACATCTTTAAAAATAATCTAAAATGTCAATATTCCATAGGTATAGTGATAAATGAAGTCTAAATTATAAGAAAATGCATTTTCTACAAAAACTTGAAGAGATAGGTAAGAAATAGTATAATAGAATAATTTGATAGACAATTAAATTGTGCATCTGATTCTAATCCAAGTAAATAAATAATAAATAATAAATAATAAAAATAAGTAAAATGTACAGCGTGTTCCATTTAAATTAAACAAGTTATTTTGTTTATTATTGCAACACAATATCTGATTAATAAATAAACTTCAGTAAATATTTCGTATTAAAAACTTTGATGCCCTTGAAGAAATGAAACCTTCAAATTTTTACTGCAATTTCATAAAATTGAAAATATTTCAAAAACGGTAAGATTTAAGTGTGATAAACCTTAATCAAAGTTACCTTTATTTCAATCGTAGAATCTAAAAATAGAATAATATACAGGGTGTTTGATTTAAAAAATACAACTATAATATTTTTTACTTATTTTGGACACCCTGTATCTCGTAAAATTATTTTTAAATTGTAGCTCTAATAGCTCTCTTCAACGAAGTCAAAACTTATAATTTGTAAAAATCTAATCGTTTAGCTACAATACTCCGTGTCCTATGTGATTAACAACCCTGTATACAGAAGAATTGTGTCAGGATTGTAAAACAGTTTTTGTCCGGTAATTTTGATATTCGTCCCACTGCGCATCACCGGTACCACCGGCTGGGGCCGTACCGCACTCTACGCCCTTTCAAAGGCGCAAAGAGAAAGCAGTGGCGCGCGCCCTCCGCCTTTCCAGGGTCACGAAAACAAACAGCGGGAACAACCGAAGAATATGATCAGATGGCGGATTAGTGTGTCGTTTTGCTGGCTCGGTAGAAGACATACGTGTATAGACGAGTACCTGGGTACGTCGCGAGGTAGTTCGTCTGGCTGTTTATTTTGTTTTTTAAAACGGCGCCGGTCGAAAAGTGTGTAAAAAACTTTTTCTTGTCAACTATTGTTGTTGTTGTTTTACTTGAATATTTATTTTGCATTTTTGTTCAAGTAGGAATCTGGCTTTCTTTGGATTAATTCTTCGTTTTAAGTTGTCTTCCTACGGTAAGTTTGAAAACGAACATTAATCTATTATTTTTGTCATTTTCTGTTTAAACTATATGTATATATCCATCCAAAATATTTTTCACAGAATATACCTATGTATCAAATTATTTAAGACAAAATGTTCAGTGATTTCAAATTATGATTATTTTTGTATCTATATCTATCTCCATCTGGTTGTATGCATATAATTGTGCATTTACTGGGATTGTCTAGGATGATTGTCATTAATGAAGTGCTTCAACAAGTTTAGGAAATAACGTTATTTAGACATTGTCGTGCCAGTCTATAGTATACTCGGTGTCCCATGTAAGAAGTAAAGGGATCTCGTGAGTCAGAAGAAATACAAAGATAATATAATTAACCCTTTATAGGACAGTACTAATTATTTTTTAGATTGATCAAACTGACTTCAAAAATATACAGGGTGGTCCGAACTGTATTCCGGAAACTTCGGCAGCATATTCTGGAGATAAAAATAAGTAAAAAAGTTTGTATAAATGTATGTATGTCCTAAAATGCTTAGTTTCGGATATACAGTGTGTTTCATTTTTATTTCGATTTTTTCCAAATAACTTCTGAAGTAACGTTAATATTTTGATGAAAATTAGTGTTTGGGAGTTTTTTGACATGAGAAATTTGATTTTGATGTCAATATGACCCCTACTTGCAGAGGGCGCCGCCTACATATTTTTAACTGGTTTGAAGAGTAATAACTTTTCGACCGTACCTGTATAAAACTACTGAGTAAAAAAATATACATTTACGATGTTTTTTACGTAAAAAAGACCTCTTTGTAAAAATCGCTACGAGTAATGGTTCTCGAGATATTTGGAATCGAAATGATCAATACCTGTCATAATGGACATAAACATGTTGACTAAATAGATATTAGCCTGAAAACATTTCAAATAAATTTGAAATGTTTTTTTGTCAAAAGTTCAACAGGAACTGGTTGATTCTCATTTTTTCACAGAAAGTTTATGATTAATTTAAAAAAATAAAAATTTCCCAAATTTATTATTTCAGTTAAATAACTATTTATACTCAATGCGTGTTTATTTTTTGTCAATAATGATATGTATTGACTATTTCCATTCTAAATATCTTGAGAACGGTTGCTCGTAACGATTTTTACCAAGAGACATTTTTTATGTAAAACGCCACGAAAATGTATATTTTTTCACTCAACAGTTTTATACAGGTACGGACGAAAAGTTATTACTTTTCAAAACAGTTAAAACACATGTAGGTGGCGCCCCCTACAAATAGGAGTTATATTGACATCAAAATCAAATTTGTAATGTCAAAAAACTCCCAGACACCAATTTTCATCCAAATATTGACGTTACTTCAGAATTATTTGAAAAAAATCGATATAAAAATGACACTTCTACACCCTGTATCTCCGAAACTAAGTATTTAAGGGCATACATTTATACGAACTTTTTTGCTTATTTTTAAGTTTTTAAGTTTATAAGTTTCCGGAATACAGTTTGGACCACCCTGTATATCTATATGTATAATTAGATATAATAGATTTAATGGTCCTATTAATAAAAATTGTGTTAATTTAACAGAGATCATAAAACGTTTCATTCATAAAAATCAGTTTCCGTTTTGAATTTCTTTAAAATTAAACACATAAAAGTCTAACGGCAGGTTTAAATCCCCAAAAGTAGAAATCTGTGGGTAATTTGAGATAGTTTTTTATACTTTGTAATCTGTCTACTCTCAGAACGCAACATCTGTCGCTCGTAAAGAACAAATCAAACACTATCGCGATTTATCGAAAAAGACTCTAAAATAGTTGGTTGTGTAGCGTGCGGTAGATCTCGGCAAAAATTGAGTGAAATAATGGAACAACTTTTCGCTAGTAAGTGACTATATAATATACATACGTGTAGTACGTGTAGTAAACCGATCATTTATGAAATTCACTTAAATTAACTAAATTATATATTTTTCTTGCATTTTAGCTTTTATTTATTACTTGTCAAAGATTAGATGTCAAAGAATTTAGATACGTTAATTTGACTTACCTGCTTCAGTAACGTATCGGATGTTTGTGTTAATACATACTTATTATAACTTATCTATTTTTATTAGAATTATATATTTTTATAACAATTTTAATAACTACCAACATTTATTCACAACGTAAAATAAAACAACAAATTATTGAGTCTACCCCACGTCTAGCCTATATCATAGTTTTACATTTTTTAAATAAAATTAGAACGACACTGATAAACCGGAATTTAAGTCGGCCATATTTGAGGCCCATCGCGGTGTACCTAAGATTTTTGATATGCTCCTTCCTTAGTCTTCTTATTCAAAGGTAAAATTCTATGGGGAATGTCACCGGTCGTCATTTCTAAGCCAACTGGGCGCCGTTTTTTTAAACGTGAAAAGTATGTTAATTTTGAATATACTAATATTTTAAGAAAATACTGAATACCTACTGTTAGCTG